TTGCAGCAAATTTCAGATGAAGGCATTGTAAAAATCTGTAGAGGATGTCATAGACTTCAGTCACTCTGTGTTTCAGGCTGTAGCAACCTGACAGATGCTTCTCTCACAGCGCTTGGTCTAAACTGTCCAAGGCTGAAGTGAGTATGTCATGAGCGTGTCGTGAGTATGTCATGTTGTTACTGGCCTGATCTAAGAAATGAACTTCTGAAGCTAATCAGCTGATATCCACAGGTTTGATTTAGCTTCATGTTGTTTGTGTTACCTTTGCCATCAAAAGAGTAAGTTAGAAGTACCAGCAGAACGTGAACTTGAGAGCTGGTCCTCTGTAGCCACCATATGAATGTAGTACACTGTATATTGGAAAACCAAGAATTAATGTATGACAAATAAAACATGTTGAACCTAGCAGTTCAATTCTGTGCTTCTAGCTAAATATTTTAGGTACTAATTACAAGCCAGAAGAAAGGAAGATATAAAGCCCATTATTTTTTTAAAAGGTAAAAATATCTGTAGTTGTGTTGTGTCTTGTGATGTTTGTACTCTGATGTCATTTTATGCAGTCATTTGTCTTGTAAAAAATAGCTAAATCATACATGAATATTATATTTACAAATTGTATTAGAAATGTGTTTTTAATATGCTCTGCAGTATGTTCTGGTATTCTTAAACTCTGATGTGGAGTGAGCTAATGCCTCAGCAAGCACTGAGGACTGAAATTTATGGAATATATTTTGAGTAGTAGGGGTTCGTCAGTTAAATATAATATAAACTTTTACATTGATGTAATTTGCGCTAACATATGTTATGGTGGTGTTCTCAGAAGTGGGGAGAGCTTCAGCTTTAATAATGAAGATCCATCATACAGCAGCTTTCTGCTTATAGAGACGTATAATACTCCTTCTAAGGTCTAATTTTAATGTAAATTAAATCAAAACAAAACATTGTTGGATGACACTAAATTGTCTTTTATGACAAGACCGTGCAGCTGTCGCAACTTGTTATATTTCAGTCACAGATAAATGGAGGAAAGTAGATTGTAAAAATTAGGGGAAGCTACATTCAAATGCCAATGTGCAATATGCTGTCACACAGTACTCCTTTAGCTGATTGAGTGAAAAAAAGCTTTTGTTAGTACAGTAAACCTGTCCTTAAGACAATTCCAGAGTTACATTCCTTCATGTAATGGTTCGTACTTACAAGAGCTTATGTGTGCCCACATCTGGGGCTTGGGAGTCTTCCGACACACTTAATTGTGTTCCTTAGAAAGCTGAGGTGTTATTATCGGTCTTTTTCCACAATTTCTCTCATTCTCTCAATTCACGACTCAGATTGGGGGTAAAAAAAAAAAGGTCTAAAGTGCAATTAGTTGTGCAATTCTTTCCAAGGGCAAAGAAGGGCAAGAATTCTTTCCACCTGTAGCAGGAATTGTTTTGGCTTTGGTAGGGAAACTGTTAGCCCCTGTCTGTGCCACGAGGGGGAAGGCGTCTGCCATTCTGCTTTCATGAAGAACAGTGTCCAGAAGAAAATGATCCTTTGCAGTGATTAGTGCAGAGGAGCATGTGATGGAGGGACAGGTGATACAGCTGGTTACATCTAGACTTTTGGGATCATGTATGGAATGTACTTGATAAAAATTTTGATGGAAATCAAAGGCAAATGTAATTCCACACTTGTTCGTACCATCTGAATATTTTGATTCTGGGTACGAAAGAGAACTCTCCTGCCTCTGTTGGATGTGCTGGCTGTGTTAGGAAGCTGTTGAGTGTTTTCTATGCTGTGCTACTCTCAATTTGCTTCAGGGTCTTGGATGTGGCCTTTCTGTGAAAGTGCTGTGTTCTGCAGCTATTGCTGCTCACAAATGCCATCTCCTTGGAAAAAAAAAAAAAATGCAAACCCTAAGCTTTACCAGCTCCCTTCAGCTGTTTGGTTTTTTTTCTCCCTTGGTCAAGATTTAGCTATCTCCTCATCCCTTTTTGTATCTGCTCATTTAACTACTTGATACCTTCTCTGTTTTTCTCTTTTAGTGCTTTTTAGTGTTAATATACTGGTAGGTGTTTTGGTAAGGCTTATTGAGAGAAGCACCTGTGGACCAGGAATGTCTTTTCCAGGTGGGACTGTGAAAATTAGGATCGTATTGCCTTTAACCCCACTAATGTTCTCTCCCACCTGCTGCTAATTCAACAAGGGTAGGGAGGTGATGTGTGCAGAGACACTCCAGGTGTGCCCAAAAGACACCTGTAGACAATGAAGGCAACTGTGAGGTCTGTCTTGGAGAACATTGCTTTATATGAGTGGGGAATCCACTCTTGGATATTATTTTGCCTTGTCAGCTCCTATGCTAGGTTCTTTGTCACAAATCACTGGATGGGAAATAACAGTCATCTGTATCTGGCAAAAAGAGGAGGCCTCTCTAAGTACAATCACTAAAACAAAGCCAAAATTAGAGCTTTGCTTATTTTCATGCTGACCAGTGCCTTCCCACCTGTTTTTCATACTGAGGCCTGATTGATGCAGCATGTGTGTGTATAGCTCACCTTCCCTTCTCTGCTCTTCTGACTGACTGCACACCTAATTTCGGGGAAGCTAGAGCTGCTAGTCTTCTGGTTTCTTAGCCCTCTGTTTCCATACTCTTCTTTGCAACCAGATGTACAGTAAGTAGCATCCTTACTGTTTTGCACGCTGTGGATATCACTCTCCCAACCTTAAAGACAGAAATGTGATGGGGTTGAGGATCTAATGGTGGTAGGTGTAGGTGGGATTGAAAGTGAGTAATTGAAAGCAGTAAGAAGGGTAACAAATGCAACCTGTATCCTTTGGTTTTTTGGTGGTGGTTTTTTTTCCCTTCCTATTTGGTATGCTAGGTTATTTTCAGACTAGCCTGAAGTATTTTATGGTAGGTTGCTAACTGCCCTTGATGGAAGGGCACAAAGTTCCCAAATGTGAGGCTGGAAAATAAATCCAGAGGTGCTACAACCATCCATTTGGGAAGTGGTACCTGTCTTGTACCTCTCTCTTGGCTGCTCTTGAGTTTCCATCATACATCCGAACCTTGTTGAAGATTAGCACTCTGAAAGTGGCTTTCGAGGCTGTATCCTGTGGGGCTGCTTTCTTCTAAACTCAGCTGCACTCTTGCTTTTGGCTTGGAAGAGACTGATCCAGCAAAGCCCTAGTCAGAGCCCTACATCCTGTGCTCTGATGGGGTTGTATTTTTCTGATGCACTCAGCATGGTTTACCTTTGCACTTTCTCTATAAAGAGCTTTCTAATGGTCTCCTAAACCATTGAAAGGATCTAGATGCCTCTAAGTGTTACCACAGCAAGAGGTTCTTTTGTCCATCTTTCCCTGCCTCTTTCCCATTGACCCCAGTATAGAAGTAGTGTTTGCTGTGGTGAGTGGGTAAGTTGCACTTAGGTTTGTGCTGCTCATTACACGATCCTATGGTTTCCCCTTATTTATCTTGATACTTACACATCTTGATCCACCTGCAAAGTAAACAATGACAAAAAAACAGTTATGGGATGGAGGCCTGTTCTATCAACTAGAATGCTATTTGGGGCAGTTGACCTGTTTTTGTCAGTGCTGCTTCCCAGTACCTCTCAAAAGAGTGTTAGATTTATATTTCCAAAACACTGTTATTTTCTTTAAGGCTGTGTTGGTGTAGCTTATTGTTCTTACTGTGGGCTTGGAGAATTTAAGCTCCTTGCTTTCTGGTAACTTGTTTCACTGTGCTTCACGTGGAGCCTGTGAGGGAATTTCTAGTAAGCAGTGTCTCAGTTTTGTGGCTTCTCAGCATCCTGTGTTCAGACAACAGGTTTTAGATGCAAGCTTCATCTGCATTGTCCTTAACTTGGGGTTTATCTTGTTGAAGACCAGGACTCTGGAAGTGGCTTTCGAGGGTGTATCCTGTGGGGCTGCTTTCTTCTAAACTCAGCTGCGCTCTTGCTTTTGGCTTGGAAGAAACTGACCCAGCAAAGTCCTAGTCAGAGCCCCACATCCTGTGCTCTGGTGGGGTTGTATTTTTTTGATGCACCCAGCATGGCTTTTACCTTTGCACTTTCTCTATAAAGAGCTTTCTAATGGTCTCCTAAACCATCGAAAGGATCTAGATGCCTCTAAGTGTTACCACAGCAAGAGGTTCTTTTGTCCATCTTTCCCTGCCTCTTTCCCATTGACCCCAGTATAGAAGTAGTGTTTGCTGTGGTGAGTGGGTAAGTTGCACTTAGGTTTGTGCTGCTCATTACACGATCCTATGGTTTCCCCTTGTTTATCTTGATACTTACACATCTTGATCCACCTGCAAAGTAAACAATGACAAAAAAACGGTTATGGGATGGAGGCCTGTTCTATCAACTAGAATGCTATTTGGGGCAGTTGACCTGTTTTTGTCAGTGCTGCTTCCCAGTACCTCTCAAAAGAGTGTTAGATTTATATTTCCAAAACACTGTTATTTTCTTTAAGGCTGTGTTGGTGTAGCTTATTGTTCTTACTGTGGGCTTGGAGAATTTAAGCTCCTTGCTTTCTGGTAACTTGTTTCACTGTGCTTCACGTGGAGCCTGTGAGGGAATTTCTAGTAAGCAGTGTCTCAGTTTTGTGGCTTCTCAGCATCCTGTGTTTAGACAACAGGTTTTAGATGCAAGCTTCATCTGCATTGTCCTTAACTTGGGGTTTATCTTCCTGTATCTTTCCTCAGATAACACTTAAGAAAACCTGAGCGTTACGCTGTCTTACTGAAACAGGACATCAAACTGCCTATAATTATGTATAATTTATTTTCCACTAAATGTTGAGAAGATTTGAGGATTGGACTTAATCTGTTCTGTGACTATCAGAAGATTCTAATAATCTGCATCAGAGCTTTTTAATTACAAATTACTGTGAAATATAGGCATAGATATACATTTGCTATTGGGAGCTTTAAGTTGCAGAAGGCAGATTTGTATCTCAAATGCATTTGCTTTTCTCTCTGTTAATGTTTTCTTTAACATTTAAAACTTTTCCAGGATTTTGGAAGCTGCAAGATGTTCACATCTTACAGACGCTGGTTTTACGCTTTTAGCCCGGGTAAGGGTCATTTCAGAAGTTTAGAGCTTGCCTTGTTCTCATTGCTGCTGAGCAGCTGTGAATTGAGGTAGTCCTGCTGGGAAGGAATATGAGAAAAAGAAAAATAAAATAGGAAGAACCCAGTGGAGGAGGGGACAAAAAGTGATTTTATTTCTGGATCGTAGTTAGAGCTGCAGCTTGATCTATTTTGCCATCTATCGTTGCATTTTTCATCTTTTTTCCCCTCTTTTCAATTGAAATTTATTATGCTTAACATAACTCTAAACTCATGTTATGTATTCTAGCCAAATCTCCCCTATAAAGATCACACATACCCATGTGATATTTACACCCCAAAAAATCACCATATAATATATTAATCTGAGCATACCTTTAAGTTACAAAAATACTTACATTATACATTATAAACTATAAGGACTTGTGCCCAGATTCATGCTGTAAATATGTAAAGTAAGCATATTGATGGTGTCAGATGCTTCAAGTTAGAAGCATTTGCTGGTTTAGGAAATCTCAACACAGGAAATCTCCTCTGAACAGGATTCATTTACGCTGCTGATATTCAGTATGAATGAAAGGGGGTTTTTTATGCCCCAGTGGTTAAACAGAGTGGTTTTCTAATCATTCAGCCTTGGGCTTTTGGTAGTCACCTCAAGTTTGCTTTTGAGAGCTGCAAGTTAAACCATTGCTTCTCATGCTGGTAAAAAAGGGGTTGGTGTTTGGGCTGAGCCGTGGCACCATGTGGTCTGCTGCGAGGTCACAAGGTTACATCATTTTCTTGTAATTAGCCATGATCGGATATTGAAAATGCTTCTAAAAGCTTACTCGGGATCTCTCGGGTTATTGGGAAAATTGCTTGTGTAAATGTGAAGTGCTGCTTTCTCCCAGCCTTGAAGTGGACCCTATTTTAAGATTTTCAACATTCATTAGCAAAGCAAATTGCTTTTAAGGCTTCTTTCTAATACGTGATGGTGAAGAGAGATCTTCCATGAGCTTAAGTGTGTTTCTGGTTAGTTTGGTGCAAGCTGATGCAGGCAGCAGTGGGATTCACCTGTGTGTGGATCCCTTAGCTTCAGTGCACGGGCTAGAAATACCAAAGGTTGGAATTGAAATTGATCCCAAAAGAGGGAAGGGAAGCAGGGGCGGGTGGGTGCTGATAGACACTGTTCAAACCTTACAGAGAAAGAAGGAGATATTTCACTCAGTCAGAGAAATGCTGAAATGTAGAGGTTTGAGAGGGGGGTGGTGTATTGCTTGTGGATTATTTTTAATTTTTTTTAACCATTTTTTGCCCTTTGGTGTTCAAATACTTGAAGGGATTCAGCTCACGATTTCCTCTTGGAAGCTGTGCTATCCCATATTACTAGCCCTGTGCATGATTTCATGTCTGTGCGTTGGTTTATTTCATCTTTTGTTTATCTATTTGGTTTTTTTTGTTTATTTTAGAATTGCCATGAGCTGGAGAAGATGGACTTGGAAGAGTGTGTTCTGGTGAGATTTAATATCACAAGGAATATTGAACGTCCAGTGTAAGAATGCAGTGCATTAGCACTTCCACTTAGATTTGCTTTATTTTTTTTACTAATAGTGTAAATAGTAGTAAATAAAAATAATTATTGGGAAATTCTATAGAGGGAAATACTTGAAAACTAACAGTTGATTGGGTGTTTTCCACAAATAACAGAACTTTCATCTGGTAGAGAAAGACACCTTACTTGAGGGTTGACTCTCCTGCTGTCTGTTGCTTATGGCTGTTTGTTTGGTTTCTTTTATTTCTAGATAACCGACAGCACATTGATACAACTTTCTATACACTGTCCTAAGCTACAAGCATTGGTAAGTTTAACTCTTTGTTTGTGAACTTTAATACATCCCCCAAAACCACACGCATACTTAGCTCCTGCCATACAAAAACAGGCTGTTCACTCGGTATCTGGAAAGAGTTCCTGATGTAGTATGATACTATGCAAGTAGATGTTAGTTTTGTAAGTATTCTAAAAGAAGATTACTCCTAAAACATTTACATGCATTGTGTGATAAAAAAATATTACCAAATCAGTGAGTCATAACCAGAAAGCTTGTATTTCCTTCATATTTGATTTTGTAGTTCAACTTGCAGTACTCAGATCCTTTATAGATACTCTTAAGTGTTCACTAATGGTTTTCTTAGGGAATGTGACACTGCACATGAAATACTGAATAAACAAAACCACCCAGTGAAGATAAATGTTATCACTCTGTAATGAGTTTTACACACAAGCAGTTTTTCCCAAGGACCAGATTTACGTAGTAAATTATGGAAGGTTTTTTTTGGCCTAGACTTTTGAACGTAATTGGAGAGGATTGAGATGCCTTCAGCGGGGTACCCTGCTTACTGTAGTGCAAAGAACTGCTTTCTGGGGAGGGCTTGCTTAGATTTTTCAGAACACCCAAACCAATTTCAGCTGACATAAATTTGGCTGTTCTTCAGACAGAGTACTACAAAATCACTAGCGCTTCTGTATTTGGGGCCAGTTGTCCCATAAATGTAGATTTGCTATATATACTGCTTCAGATCTACAGGAGACAACAAGTATCTTCATAATCTGTTCTTAGATGGGATTAAAGGAAGGTTTGCTGCTTCATTAATAAAATTGTGTTATGATTAGTGTTACTCAGCGTTACTAAGGTAGCAACGTGAGGAGAGATAGCTTTTAAAAAGGAGCTTGTTCAATATTTTTTATTATTGTTGGTTTTTAGTTTTGCTTATTAATTGTCCAACCTTATTTCTGTACCATAATTCTTAATGTTAAGTCAAACAAGAGTTGTCAGGAGATGTGGAGTCATTTATGTGGGACACTTTCTGTTCTTCTGCAATGTGTATGTTTTGTTATTGTGATCTCAAATGTAACCAGTACTTGCAAAAGATCTTTTGTACCAGTTCTGCCAGTGCTTCACCAGAGATACCGTAAGACCTCATAATTTCAAAGTATTTTTCTGAAACTGCTCCTGTTTGCTGGCCTTTGTGTGTTGGCCCATAGATGGGGAAGTGTGGCGTTGGTAAAATAACATACCTTTTCTAAGTGAGCCAGAAAAATGGATTTTTTTTGTTAATATGTGTATCCTTTGTGTAGGAGGGATACATACTCAAAGATTGTGAGTGAACAGTGATGGTGGAGAATCACAGGGAAAGAAAAAACAGACTTGAAGGTGCCAAATACCATAAATCATGTACTGTTGATGGTTCTGTAAATTCTTGTGTGGCTGTGCTTTAGCATATGTTGAGGTATATTTGGAGTTTAAACAAATATTTTGAAGTTGTGGAAATCTACTTTGAGTTTTGTTTCTTGGTGTTTGGAGACTCAGTAGACAGTGGAAATAAGCAAAAGCACTGTTAGACCAATTATAAGCAGCTGCTACGTCTTTGTCAGTATGAGGGTACTCAAATGCTTTATTATCTGCTGGACTTGAGAAGTAATTTCTGGTGAAAGTGCTTAACATTTGTACATTGAGATCATTAGAGAAACTGTGAAATATTCCTGGAGATGAGAAGACAGTCAAATTCTTCAGTTATGTTGATCATATTGTTTCTTACTGTCACCATATATCATGCCATGTTTGATTTATACACAGCATTTAGTATGTATTGAGAAAAAAAATAATTTTATCATATCTTTTTGCTCTAAAAACTTCAAGTAATTATCTTAATCAGTTCCATGTTACTAACACTAACAGGTTCATGAAGTCAGAAGAATCATTTAATACAAAGTATGTCTCATTTAGCGTATTTGATTTACAAAGTTCAGCAAACTCAGCTGTACATCCTGTATTGTCCTTTCAGTACCAAATACAGCGTCTCAGGAAAGCTGATTTTATAAGCTGCTTACTTCCTGGGACGGAAAACTCTTAATTAGCCAGCAGGCTGCTGCCCTAGTCAACAGCTTCACATAACCTCCTGTCCTTCCTTCAAACAGCAGGTCTATTATTCGTGTTCTTTAACCCTGCAACTGCTGATTGTTTCCAGGCTGTGAGCCAAATCAAATCCTCACAACACGTACATGAGAAAGTAGATATAGTAGGAGAGAACTTCAGTTCTCTTTATCGTAGACTTGCAGAATGTAAATAAGTCGTAAGATAAAACACTATTGATTTGGACAACAACTTTATTTCTGTTGGCTTTTGGGGAGGGTATGCACTAGTTGCTTGGAGTGACTGCCAGCTGCTCACAGGTGGTGAGTGAGTAAAACTGGACCAGCTGGAGCAGAAGGGAAGGTGCTGGGGTGGCTCCCCAGCAGACTGGAGGGGAGTTGCAGACCTGCCTCCCAACCTCTTCCCTGGTTACTTGCTCATCCTTTATGAGCAGAGTAGAAATACAAGTTGAGGGGCAAGTTGTTCTAAAAGGCAGGACAGACCTCGAGTGTCTGGTAGCAGGCAAGAGATGCTCGTGACTCAAGCTGAGGTAAAATAAGTGTAAGGCTGGTGGTCCTTTGGCTTCCTCATCAGGCTGAAATAAAAGAAGGTAGATGTGATGTACCAAGAGAAGGGAAGGGTTACACGTTTGATTCAGATGATTGCCAGGAGGTGCTTTTGAGCACTAGTTAGTTTGCTTGAGTTAAAAAGCCTTTTTGGATTGCTGCAAGCGCTTCTTCGTCAGATGCTGTCTGAAAAACACTTGTGCCAAGAAAACTGCTTCAAATCCAGCAACCATTACACTTAGATACAAGTACAGGCAAGAGACAGGGCTGAGCATAAAGCAAGGAACTAGCCCGGAGTAAGAGATCACAGATCCGGCACATTTGTGGTGCAGAAGACTGGAGAGCATTCATTTCACTGGTGACAAAGAGTGTTTTTTAAGCCTCCTTTGAGGAAAGTCTGTTTCCTGTTGTTGTCATCATCATTGCTTCTCCAAGTCATGAATTCCCTAAAGGAACCAGGAAATTGCTTTACATAGTGCTACTGCCTGAGACGCTGCAACTTTTTCCATGCTCTTGACATTCAAGCCAGTAAAAAAAAATATGTTGAAGAGGAGCAGAGTTTTGTAGTTTGTTATGCTGACTGTTGCAGAAAAGACCTGCTCCTGCCAGCTGCACAAGATGTTTATTACTCCTTGTATGTACAGCCTGAGGTGTTAAGCACTCGTGGGTTTTTTGAAATCATGATTTGGCAAATCAGTCCGGTCTGATTGTTCTTTACCCATGTGGACTTGCACAGGCTTGGTCCTGATGGTATGTATGAAAACTTGGTGGCTGTGAAACAGTACCTCCTGTCAGCAGATCCTCAGCTTTTCCTGTATGTTCTTGATCAGCCTTTAAATTTGTCTCCTGTTTCTGGCATGGCACATGTACTGTTTGCACCCATCGGTAGCGGTGGTGCATGACAATCGGGACAGAATTCCCACCTTCACAGGGAGCAAAAAGTCCTGAGGAGTTTTGCCAGTGACGTGTGTTTTGGTTTGAAGTTTGGTACGCTGCTTGGTTTGAAGTGAAGTTAAAGTACAGCTCTTCTTCTTTTAAGTAGAGTTGTGTCCTTTGTTACTCATCCGGATTTCAGCTGTATGCTTTTTCTTACTGTTTAACCACCAGAATGAAGGAGGCTGAAGAGGATTTCCAATGTTTAGAGACTAGCATAAGTTAGGACTGCACGATGTCATTAACTCTCTGCCCCTCTGTTTTAGAGCTTATCTCACTGTGAATTGATCACTGATGATGGGATTCTTCACCTGAGCAACAGCACGTGTGGTCACGAGAGGCTGCAGGTACTGGAGCTTGATAACTGTCTTCTCATCACCGATGTGACTCTGGAGCACCTGGAGAACTGCCACAACCTGGAGAGAATCGAGCTGTACGACTGCCAGCAGGTCACGCGAGCTGGAATCAAACGCATCAGAGTAGGTGTTTGCTGACTTGTTCCAGTGGGAATGCCTGGGCCTGTGGTAACTGTTTGCATTGTATGAGTCCAGCAGATGTCCCAGGCAAGGGAGGGTGGAATGACAAAGCCTGACTATCATTCTGTTAGGTCCCCATCTCTAGGGACTAAAGGGAGCTTCTCTGTATGAGCAGTAATAATTGTCTGATTCTGTTTATAACTCACGGCACTTTTGCTGTTGGAATGATGAGTGCTTTCTAGATATTTTTTTTGAAAAGCAGGCTTCTATGCTTTTAGGAGTGTATTAGTGGCATTCTTTAACTCTCCTAAAATATACAGAGGCAATAGGGAAGCATCTGTTTCTGGAGGTTTGGGTTAATGGGCTGTAAGGCCGTCAGGCCCTGGAATCCAGCCACAGACTCTTCCCCCATTAGGTCAGGGACCACCTACCTCGGGGGCAGCATTTTAGCCTGTTACACTGTTACACTGCTTCGTGTGCCAGATTTGTGTCCAAGCACTTTTGCCATTGGAAAGCTCATCCCTGATGGTGACTCCTGAGGGCAGATGCCCTGTTCTGTTCCATGCTGCTTCCTGGGATGAGAGCAGCAGGCAACATGGGAGACAGGAGACAGACAAGTCTTTTCTTCAGTAGCCAGGGGTCTGTCTCTCCCTCACAGCAGAACACGTGCCTCTCTCGACAGGGAGCTCTGGGGGCTGATGGGTGCTTTATTGGGAAGCAACTGGGAACCCCGCGCAGGTGAGTGCCCAGCCATGCAGCGCTCCAGGCTGGGGGCAGAGTGGCTGGAGCTGCCTGGCAGAAAAGGCCCTGGGGGTGTTGGTTGCCTGTGGGCTGAACATGAGCCAGCAGTGTGCCCAGGGGGCCAAGAAGGCCAATGGTATCCTGGCCTGTGTCAGGAACAGCGTGGGGAGTAGGGCCTGAGAGGGGCTGGTCCCCCTGTACTGGGCACTGGTGAGGCCTCACCTCAAGGGCTGTGTCCAGTTTTGGGCCCCTCCCCACAAAAAAGACATTGAGGGGCTGGAGCGGGGCCAGAGAAAGGCGACAAAGATGGTGAGGGGTCTGGAGCACAAGTCTTGTGAGGAGAGGCTGAGGGAGCTGGGGGTGTTGAGCCTGGAGAAAAGGAGGCTGAGGGGAGACCTTCTGGCTCTCTCCAACTCCCTGAAAGGGGGGTGTAGCCAGGGGGGGTCGGTCTCTGCTCCCAAGTCACAGGCGACAGGACAAGAGGAAATGGCCTCAAGTTGTGCCAGGGGAGGTTCAGGCTGGATATTAGGAAAAATTTTTTCACCGAGAGGGTTCTCAGCCATTGGAATGTGCTGCCCAGGGAGGGGGTTGAGGCCCCATCCCTGGAGGTGTTCAAAAGACGGGTTGATGTGGTGCTGGGAGGTATGGTTTAGTGATGATGCTCCTTGTTTGCTGTGCGGGTGTCTATTTTTGTCAGTTAGGTTGACGGTTGGACAAGATGATCTTTAAGGTCCCTTCCAACCTCGAAGATTCTGTGATTCTGTGATTAGTGTGCTGTAGCCAGATGGGACATGAGAATGACATGTCAGGAGAAAACAGCTTGGGTAGTGTCAAGCTTATTGAAGCTGCTTTCTTTTTAGCTATAACCTTGATGATAGCTGACTTGGCAGTAATCGAGGTGTTACTGCTTCTTATTTCTCTCCTATTATAACGCAGACTTTCCATCCACAGGCCCATCTACCTCACGTGAAGGTTCATGCTTACTTTGCTCCAGTGACTCCCCCTCCTTCGGTGGGGGGTGGCGGGCAGCGCCTCTGCAGATGCTGCATCATCCTCTGACAGTAAGTGCGCGACCAGGCAGAGAATTCCCTTCTCGTTGTCGGAGAGAAGAACGGGACTGCGCCTCAGCGGAAGGAGTTGGTTTCCTGACAGTCCTCACGGTGGTGTTTGGTCATCCAGTTTTGTGACAAGAAAAGCGGTTTTTTTTCCAGGTAAAAAAAAAAAAAGAAAAATAATAATCTTAACGTAATGTGCAGCTGTGGATTAAGTTGGTGATGCTTCGGTTTGTATTAGTAAATCCTTCCTTCTGTTGTTGGCATGAGAAGTACCGTGTAAAACTGTGGGGGGCGTTTTCAGCATAGCAGCTACTTGGTGACAAGGTCACTAAGCTTGGAAGTTAATTTGCATTTGTGTGAAGTTGTGACCCAAGGCGGGGCTCGAGCCCCTCACACCGAGGGACTGAACCTGCTTGTTCTGTAACATACACCACGGATCCAGCACCAGGTTTAAGGCCAAATCAGCTTTAGCAGATGTTGACCAAAAAAAAACGCAAGGTAACCATGCAAAACAGCTTATACTTTTTCATGATTCAGCTTCGTATTTAATTACGTAAACAGGACATCATAGGCAATGTCAAAAGGTAAGCTAGTACCTCCAGATAACTATATGCTTTCCAAGTTTGTTGAACTTGGTTCAGTTGAACTCTGTGTTAGTATAAAGCTTGCCCGTCGCTGAAGCACGTTTGCTGCCCGATGCCATGGGCCTGTAACAGGGGTAAGAAATCCACTGGGGCAGAGCTGTGGCTCTGCTGCCACACTCCTACATGGTGCTCACCCAAACCCACCTCCCCTCTCTCCTCCACAGCCCGGGGGGGGGTCACTCCTGCTTGGCCAGAGGTTCAGCTGCAGGGACTGCCAGGAGGGAGCGAGGGGGTTCCAGTCAAACTGTTTGTCCCACCCGGGTTAGGGAGATAGATGGGCAAATAAATCCGGAGGCAGGAGTTGAACCAAACCAAACCTGTCGTTTTAGAAAGACAAACTCCTCACATGTGGGTTATTTAAGAAGCTGTCAACTTCTGAATGATGATAATAATAAAAATCTGTGTATTAACTCTTAAGGACATGCTTTCATCCTTAGTTTTTCAGTGCTAGAGGATTAGATAAACTTTTTTTTTTATATTAAGCAACTTAATTATCTGAGATAAACTACTCAGCAGTTCAGAAAGCTTTTTTTGTGTAAGATTGATTGTGTGTGTGTATGTTTTAAGAGTTCAGGGCCTGTGTCTTTACTGAAAATCAATAGAAATACTGGCTTAAAAAGCAGTTGGAGAAGCTACTGCTGGAGAGTACTGCAATTTCCCCCCAAAATTTTAAGCTACTTTTCAAAGTGAGACCATTAAGAGACTTTTCTGGGACAACAGTGGCTGTAACTTTGCTCATGCTTCGATGGGGACAACTCAATTCAGATCTCAACCTGGAGGACAGATTCCAGCCTGGAGTGCGGTACGTGGATTTCTTCGCTACTAGGAAATAAGCCAAGGAGGGCTTGTTTTGCGCAGCAGCGGAGGAGGGTTGGTACCATCATGCTTAAGAGTTTCATTAAGATAGTGCTGCAATAGAGAGTTTTAAGCAGATTTTATTCTCAACTGTACCAGGACAGTCATCGGTACCGGTATGGCAAGATGTGTTGCCTTTTGTTGGCTCTTTTTTTTTCTAAGAACATAATGAACCTTGTAAGTCTATCGCATTAAAGATGTACAAAACCAAATGGAACCTACTCTGATATAGGACACTAAAATAAACAATCAGCTGATGTCAAATTTGAATTTGTTTCAATTATTTCACATATGACTCTGTTTTCCATTAGAAGCAGGAGATCTGTGCGCGCTGCGTGTCGGGGGCAGGATAAACCACGGAGCTGGACCGCGCTTCCACTGCTTACCTTTACCTGCCAGCTCCTAGGGTAGGTTCTTGCAGGTAATATCATCTTAACACCAGAAACATCTCTAATGTGGGGGAGGGAAAAGGAAGTAAACAAAAAGAAAAGCACATTTACAAAATTATTGAAAAACATTTATTATACTTAAATTGAAATGTGTACATCTTATTAAAAAACAAAAGCAATTTGCTGGTGCCATAATTTAATTCCAATTTCAAGTGAGCTGGACAAACTACTGTACAACTTTCAATATTCTTTAAAATTAGGTATTTGGATACTTTCCAATCAAGGATTTTTCCACTTTTTTTATAAAACATTTGGATTTGAATACGGTGTGAGCTGAAAAGACACAGGTGTCAATTCAAGAAAGTACAAGGACCAAACAATACCCAAAGATGAACAACTTATAGGCAGAAATGTTTAGGTATGTAGTAAAATTTTACTTTCAGTGCAGAAAAAAAAAAAAAGGAAAGAAACTCTAGCGTTGATGAATTAAAATTTTCAAAATGCTACAGCTTTAAGAAGCTTTTCTGCTAAGCACTTGAGACAGTTATGAAAAGAGGGAATGAAAAAATCAAAATTGCTTTTTTTTTACATGCTGTAGCAGTTGTTTACATTGAACCCTGCAGCATAAAAAGCAAACTGTTCCCGAGCGTTTTAAGCCAGAGATCCAGGTGGAACTTGTCAAAGGCAAAAAAAAAATTAAAAAAAAATCAAACCAGCTATGAAACTGTCGCTTCATACCTTTTGGAATATTCCCCTCTAAGTACCTAACTAGTCGAAACTTAATGTTAACGTAGGAAATGCTGAGCCATGTCTTTACAAGAAATATCCAAACTATTGAAAAAGCACGTTTGCCTGTTTCAAAGAAAAGTAACTATTTGGTCATAGGGCAGAGGCACTGTAGCTGTTGTACAGTCCGATCGGAGGGCGAAGAAAGGCCAACAGAAAAGGTGAGCTACTTGTCCATAACAGCAACTACAGCAAGGCAGTCACCTGCTGGGAAGGAGACCTAAATGGTGTATATTTAGTGTTTTTTAAGCAATTCAGTTGATGTTGCTGAAAGCAATGACAGCCCCATGGTGCCAGTGGGTCATCGTCCCTCATCAGCATAATTCCACTAACTCAGAAAAAAAACCATCTCTCACTGCTAGTATTTTTAAAACCCACAATTTTACAAGCAAAGAGTTAAAATGCAGCAGTGCTCCGCAGAGAACCTAGGAAACTAAACATAAAGGATGCATAGGCAATTATTTTCCATTAAATTTGTTAAAGCAAAACACAATTACTTGGTACCCCAGAGGATTTCTATTAATCCCTCCGGTAAGGTACTACTGATAATGCAGTTTGCTGCATGCATATATTGCATCTGTCTAGGGCTTCTTCAAAGCCCTGTTCTGGCATTTACACTTCTTACATACACTCTTATACACAATTTACACGGGAAGCTGTTTTGACAGCTTTACTCTCAAAGACCCGACAACCTGATCACTATCAGCTTTAACTACTCATCTCCACACAGATTAATATGTGCTCTGCTAACATCAAAAAAATAAAACCAGCGGAAGGTACAAGCAAGTAATAGACAAACTGGCACAGAAAGGTAAATGCCCCCAAATAAGTTTACATTCATCTCCAACTGGATACAGGTCACAGAGAAGCACCAGTGCTTCGCTTCTAGAAACTGTATCTACTGGCCATAATTTGCCTTATTTTCAGTAAAGGGCAAGCACCTTTGCTTACATTGTCTTCCATGCCTGTACGTCAGCTGTCATGGCATTATACCTCTCATGAGGACACTTAGCTATGGCAGTGATAAGAAAGTTCACCTATCAAACAGCTCATTAGAAAGGTGATATTTTTTTTCTTTTTTTTTTTTCTTTTGTGTTTTCAATATGAAACATCTTATACGGTGAAGTTAGATCCGAATGTTGTGGATGATCTTCCTAATCTTTAGGCAGGACTGCGTTCTGCGGTGGAGGAGCAGTCTGGCAATCGTCTGACATCACTTCAAAATTATATGGAAGCCTTCACCATTTTCAGCTGAAAAAGAAAAAAATGTCAGTCTTTCTATAAATAGAACCATAAACATGAACCAATGCACCATAACATCCCAGTATGGACTTGGTATTTACTGGGTAGAAGTGGTTCATTACTATTACAACATTTTAAACTTGAGATCTTAGTAACCTGCTGCTCAGACTAAATGCCTGAATAACTAACTTTATCTCTGGATTCTCCCTATTCCGCATTAAAATCCACTTCATTTGACAGTTGATATCATATAAATTAACTCCTGCCAGACCAGTATAAATCTTTAGTGTATATTTTTAATCATCTCTTTGGTGACGCTCAGCCTTAAACTAGAAAGTCAAATAATACACTTAAAACACCCCAAGCCCTGTGGGTTTTACGCTTCGAAGCTGCTCAGCAGTTCCAGCACAGGGCTTAACAACTGAGACAAACAGGTCCCTGACACCCACCAACCCCCTCAATGGGTTTACACCGCACACTCCAGTTTGTTTTAAGTTCAGCTGCTGACCAAGGGAAGCCAACTTTAAAAACACAGCTCCTCTACAGCAAAACCATAGCTTTTAAAAAGGTCCTCCAAGGGCTGAAGCAAAAATATTATGATTGAAGATCCAGTTAGAAATTGTAAAAAGTTTTGATGGTTTCTGTGGATAAAATTTGCACCAGTGCTGCACTGGTTCTGAACTGGAAGCCTGGCCAAAGGCTGAGGAGCTACACAGAGCCTGGAGGAGAGGAGGAGCTGGGGGATGCTTTCTGCCGCTCCTCTCTGGAGATGCTGGGGTTTTGGCCCCTGCTCTCTGCGCTTCACCAGACCTTCTCTGCAAGTGCTTTAAGGGAGGCTCCTTGGTGCAATCAACAATTACGTTTGTAACTGTCAGAAAAGACACCGTACCTTTTATTGTGGTGAATAAGAAACAACTCTCGTCTTGAAAGTTTTGAACCATCTACAAAAAAGAAAAAAATGGTTTTGAAACCCTCCTGAGTGTGACCCATACCAGAAATAAATACATTAGATATTAAACAGCCTTTTATACAAATCTGCATATTTTGATTTTCTTCAGCAAGTGCTTTTTTGAAACCCTCCTGAGTGTGACCGATACCAGAAATAAATACATTAAACAGCCTTTTATACAAAACTGCATATTTTGATTTTCTTCAGCAAGTGCTCAGAGGTGACAAGCATATACCACATCAAATTAAAATACATGACTGTCAAAATACTGCTTGTTAATCATGTGACAGCCAGGGGGGAGCCTGTTACTGTTGGCTGTGGTTTTGGAGCTCTTAATACGTGTAGCAGATGCTCGAGTAAACTGAGTTCAACCCTATTTAAATGCTCCCTGCCTCTAGGGATGTGCAAAATACGTGCACACTGAGTAATTATTGCAGCATCTCAGGAGGATATAGACCGGCTGGTTTTTCTCTTCTCACAATCAGAATTTAAGTAGCAAAAGAGCAACAGTTAAACATCACTCTCCTTATTTTAATGTAATGGAAAAAATACTATGATCATCAGAAAATACTAGTTTCCATTATCAAACAGAAAATAAAAAAGTAACGAAGCAAGTATGAGAAAATCCCCCATTCTATTTAATTGATAAATAACATTTGTCAAGAAGATAAAATTTCCATTACCTGGTCACTGACAAGAATGTGGATGCCTGTGGGACCCTGTCTGTAAACCTGGTTGATCTGATGCAAAGGGATATTAAATGCCAAAGCAAGCTTGCGCGTGACTTCCGAGGCTGCCATTTCTTCTAAGTAGATTGCATGATAAACTAGAAAAAAAGAAAAAAAAAAAATGTATTTCAATAAGCAGAGCACTAATCTGTAACAAGTGCGTACATGAAAAAAAAATCTGAATTTGTTTATACCCCAGCTTTAAAAAATTTTAAAGGCTAGAAACCTTTTCTTTCCTCTTGCCCTGCTCTCACTAAGCAGCATGAATTGCCAGGGCTTTGCTCTCAAGGCACCTAAGCACCTCTCTGACACGGGGGAGGCTTCTCTCTGAAGGCAACTTCCACATTTTTCCCTGTATCCTGCACAAAAAGGCACAGTCCTGCCAAACAGACGGAAATGAACCATTAAAGTCACCTCGAGATGACTTTGGAAGTAGCTTTGGACCATCTCAAAAGCAGGAGGTAACACCTTTGACTCGCACCACAGCACTGTTGCTTTAAATAGGGATGTAGATTATATTTTTTCTGCTAAAGAAAGCTTTTTACCAAATATCTGAATTATTTGAAGTTTCCTACAGATCATCTCGGAGCTGAAGGGTGGTGGTGGTGGGGAAATACTGTTCTGTTTGTTTGTGGTGGTGTAAGACAGAGTAGCTGTTGGGTTTGATGCTGTATTTACAGCTCCGTAGCTTTATTTATAGCGCCAGAAGCCCCTGGCAGCTCCGTGTTTGCACATTCTTCTATCCCAAAGGAAAGCCTGAAGATATCCAGGGAGAAAATATGCATTCGACAGAGACAGTATCTTATTTACAGAGCCTCCCCCACCTCAATTCTTGCATGAAAAATACAAAGATTTCAGTTGGTTGGGGAACCAGGTCTCTTCCCTCAAAGAAAAGGATCATTTCAAACAGCTCCATTCTCTTAATTGTAACATTGACATGAATTTACAATTAAATATTAAGTTGCCATCAGTGCTGAAGTAACAGCTGCATCTCAGGAAAATAATAGGGAACTCAGGAGCCCGTACACTGTGTGGCTGGTTTGCTGGTCAAGCTCTCTCAGTTTCAGTTCAGCCGCACAGAAAATGACAGCAAAACCTAACTGAAAATAGGAACAAATCCAAGTGTTTTATTCGCACGTAGCTTTTACATGCCACCTGCATTCGTTTGGTTAATACCTTGGCTGTAACAACATAGCACAGCTAATTTGAGAGCTCCTTGATTAATTACCACGTAACTACAGTTCGCTTTATCAGTGCATGGAAAAAAAAAAAATCCAAGACTTAACCTGGAGAGGTTTTAAGGTTCTGTTCATCCTGTTTCTCTGCACACCAGAGAGAGAAATTCAGCCTCTTCCCTGCTCTTTTTTCCCTCCCATCTATATTGTTTAAAGACTTTTTAAGACGCAGAGCTGGTGTGGCAGGAGACCCCCCGTGCGCCGTACCGTATATTGCCCAGAGACCCCCCGTGCGCCGTACCGTATATTGCACCATTGCTGCTGTCGCCGTTGCCTGCGTCTTGTTGTTCCAGTTGTATGCTCCTTAATGGCTCCTGACAGACGTAGATCGTTAAACGGGGCCTGACAGACCTGCAAGGCCAACAAATCACCCCTCAGACAGAGAGTCACTCGCCCTGGAAATACACAAACCGATGTGCCACGAGCGCAGATTTGTTGTGCCTCACACTACACTTCAAACGTTTTCTTTCGTCGACCAAAAATAAATTAATAAAATTAACATAATGGTAAGTGGTTTCTCAGATACCACAGCATTTTAACAACATTTCAATCAATTCTGAGTTCATTCAGAACTTGTTGGAATCTTGGAAGAAATACAGAGTGACAATGACAATTCTTGTCAAGGTCAATGGCAGCAAACACCCGTTTCAGTCAGAATGGGCTCCGTCAGCGGGGCTGCAGCCTGCGTTGGCACACGGCATTTGTAACCTCAAATCCAGCTGTTCTCAAAACCAGTGCCCAACTGCACTGGTACCAGTTAGAGCCCACCGCTGGACTCACCAGCGCCCGCGTCTCAGCTGGGGTCTGCCCTGAAGCCGGGCACAGGAGGCTCTTTTTTAAACACAACCCCCTGCCAGTTCCCTGCTCAGCCTCACACTCACCTCCCACACCCCCCAGTTCTCCCCACGGGGGATTCCAGTACCTGACAGAACAAAACCCACTCAGCCTGGCATTCAGCCATTACCTGGATTTCAGTGCATTATAGAGCCGAATCCCATCGGCCGGACCACAGATTTGTACCAGATCTTCTCTCGTCAGCTTTAATAAATCAGCACCTGCAGAAAACACGCAAGAATTTTACCAAGATTATTTTAGAACATATGTACTTTTTAAAATAAATTGTATGTTCATTTAGACTGGGAAGAACAAAGTCCATCATTATAAAAATGGAATCCTGCAGACACAAATGAGCAAGTAAAATTAAGAGTGGGCACTAGCCAGCACTAAGAAAAAATGACCAATTTTCCAAAGGCGGTTGGTTTCCCTTGATGGGTTCACATCTTGGTTGGTTTCCCTTGATGGGTTCACATCTTCACGGGCACACAATAGCTGTAGAGACTGGCCTAGATCCAGGCAATGGCTTAAATGACTTAAAAGTTTTAATTGATACCTGTGTTGGTGTATTTTAAGCACGTGCAAAATCCAAGATATCTGATGGTTTCTTGCTCAACGAATCACCCCAGGCATTGAACTCATACATCTGCACTCTGTGCCCGTCAGTTATTGCAGTGCACTCATCTCCTGAAGGTACTGGTGAAGGCTGGTGTAACCCCTCACTTGGGTCAAATCAGAACATGAGCAGCCTCTGGGGGGAATCCCAGCTGGGGGACACTTCCAGCCAAAAGCAGGTTTGATTTTTGATTTTTTACTTTTTAAATGATCCTGGGAATAAGTGATCTGTGAAAACAACTGCTTTCCCAGAACATCCAGCAAATGAAGCTTCACTAAAAGATCTTATGCAGATCTCAAACAAAAGGGAAGGAAGCACACTGCTTGGAACCAGCGCGGCTGTCAGCAAAGGAAACAACAGTCTGAAAAATCAGTCCCTGGAAGAGATGAGTGGGAGGGTGGGGGAGTACATTTTCTCCATGAAAATACTCCCCAGACAATCTAGGAACACACAGGTAGAAGCCAAAGAAAATAATCTGTCATCATACCCCTGCAGTACTATAATAAAAAAACCCTACTGCACTTGAAGAAGTGTAATTAAAAGCTACACTGCACCTCTGGCTTCAAAGGCAATCAGCCAGCTTGTATTTGACTTCTATAAACATATAAAGATAATAATGAAAAAGAAGAACGGCTTTAAAAGTTTTCCAAGGTCTTTGTCAGAAATTTGGTACCACACTTGACCAAGGAAGCTTCGCAATCACGATACATGACAAGCACAGAACAAACCCTTCCATTTCCAACCCTGCAAGGGTTGGCTATAAAACACTGTGCTTTTCCATTAGGTCCATGGTATTTAAAATAAATTTTTTATTATATTGCGATATTATTATTAGCAGTAGCTTACAAAATTGTAGTTAATGTCACCAGAACTATACACAAATAATTTTTATCAGCACCATGTGTCCATATGGTTTGCTGAGCTAGGTACTGTGAGATACTGGCTCATTCATTAGTGAGACTGCACTCCCTAATGAGTCCTGTCTTGGGGTTGGATGACACCTTCACAGCTTGTTCAGAAAAGCTAAATGTGAGCTTATTTCTCAGAACCTGTAAATCCTAGCAGAAAACAGGATGAATTTAAGGCAGAAAATGTTAGGCAAAAAACGTTAGGCAGCAGCAAACAGAATTAATTAGCCACGGGGGGAGTCCAGAGAAGGGCAATGGAGCTGGTGAGGGGTCTGGAGCACAAGTCTTGTGAGGAGAGGCTGAGGGAGCTGGGGGTGTTGAGCCTGGAGAAAAGGAGGCTGAGGGGAGACCTTCTGGCTCTCTCCAACTCCCTGAAAGGAGGGTGTAGCCGGGGGGGGTCGGTCTCTTCTCTCAAGTCCCAGGTGATGGGACGAGAAGAAATGGCCTCAAGTTACACCAGGGGAGGTTCAGGCTGGATATTAGGAAAAATTTTTTCACCGAGAGGGTTATCAGCCATTGGCCTGGGCTGCCCAGGGAGGTGGTTGAGGCACCATCCCTGGAGGGATTGAAAAGCCAGGTTGACCTAGTGCTTAGAGACATGGTTTAGTGATGGTTTTGATCAGAGTGAGGTTGATGGTTGGACTGGATGATCTGAAAGGTCCCTTCCAACCTGGACAATTCTATGATTATATGAATATGAGACTGACAAAACTTTGAGTCTTACAGATTCCAAAAATGCCATGTTAGAGAATCTGTTCTGTCAATCTTGACCCAACACGGTCTGGACCAGGGAAGACACCTGGTACAAAGAGAACTCTGGCAGCAGCAGGAGCTAAGCCAAGAGGCAGAGAGCAGGAGTTACTCATCAGATTCTCCTCATTGCGTGTCACCAAAGGAACCTGAGAAGGAGTGTTACTCATGGTGTGCTCTGTGCCATCCCACTCTGCACAAACAGCAAAACCCAGCCCCAGGCAGCGCAGCTATTGCCAGCTCTTGCTCCCGTACCTATCATGGGAACTACCCTGACACAACAGTTAAGGAAGAGCAACCCAACGTTCTGCTGAAATGAAAGGAAAAATAGACAAATACATACAGGTCAAGGTGTTGCACGGTATTGAAGCAGAGTTCAGTACAAAAAATAATTTGCCATTTCTGTGAATAAGACAACTACTAACGGCTTCAGAGTTTGGAAGGATGAAAACTTCATACGCTACAATTAAATCTAAGTCCTAAGGAAAGACCTGACAAGGGCCAGAGTTTAGCAGGTTCCTGCAGAGCAGAGCAGAGGGGCTCTGGCCTGACTGGCCACACTCACTCCTTTTTCTCAAAGGACTCATTGAGATGAAAATGATTTGGTGAACTATCATCGGGAAATAAAGAACCTAGCTTCACTCTTGGGTTTGGGGTGAGTTAGTGTGAAAAAAAAGTCCTAATGCAAACTGAACACTGAAAAAGCAAATTAGTAAATTGCAATAAGTACCGATACCATATTGTTTTTAAAGAATTCCTTTCCCACACAAAATTTGTTCGCCAACACAAACAAGTACTTCAAATAAAAAAAATAAACTATAGGTACCTGAGAAATTTGAAAAAAGCCTTGTATAGGTAGAGAACCTATGCTTGAGCAACCATTGCTGAGTTTCCTGGATTGTGGCTGAAGGATGAAGCTGCTGTAAGAAACAAGGTTGGATATGATAATTTGGACATTAAAAAAAAATATCCAAACCCATTAAAAGCCCTCCCTCAGTTCCTGTTATTATCAAGGTCTGTATAAATCAGAAGTTCTGACACAGATATAGCCCTGCCCGATAACAGAAAGCAAACACTCACATCTCCAGATCCTTGAGAGGTTCCATCTCCTTGATGATTTGGGGAAGAAGAATTGCTACAAAGAACAATAAAAAAAAGGAGGGAAGTATTACTAGAATTTTATTAAGCAAAATATTCAAGCATTGATGAAAAATCACTTGAAATTCCCGAAACAATAAAAATCACTGCTGAAAGACAAATTAAACGCTAAATAGAGTAAAACTTAGTTAAACTCAAGAGAAAGATCATGACACTTCTGTATTAAAGACAACTTGTGTGTATATATATCAACTGGACAAGCAGCTTTACCGCCACTCACCGAGGTGAGTGAAGACTGATTTTAAAATGTTATCTTTAATTAGGATCCAGAGCAGAAACCCACCTGTCCGGGACGCTGTAGGTGTTGTGTTGAGCAGAGGTAAAAGTGGGAGCAGGAGTAGGACTGTTGTTTACAAACGTTGTCGGAGTATCAGGCCACGGTGAGCACTGAAGATAAAGAATTAAAACTTAAGTTTCTCTCAACAATACTTTTTTTTTTTTACTCTGGTGCAGAGTTCTTTCATTTAAAGCCAGGGGGTTTTTCCACAGAGAATTTTGATTTGTAATTCCAACTAAAGACTCCCTCCATCCCACACATCACATGCAGACATTCCAGGTAAAAATCAGTTTTCTTTTATCTCGTTCTTTCAAGAAGGCTCCCATTTATACTGTCTTTTGGTAACAAAGTGGAGGTATTAGTGGTGGGACTGACACAAGACCTGTACACATTACCCGGTTTAAAACAAACCAACCAACCCACCCCAAGCCATCTGTTGGAAAAACTTCTTTCATCCTAAAATGGATGAAGAGACTGTTTTAACTTGACAGTAGGAGTTCAGCCATGGTAAGGAGAACTACAAAGCTAGATTTCACCTTGTAGAGAAATTTAATTTATCTGCCCTGACAGCAAAATATACAAATGAAAGTTTCAGTAGAAATATTGTGAATCGAAGACTTGTATTAATTAACTGCAGGACTAAAATGATGTACTGCTTTCTTGAAAGTGCTTGGTAAACTGGAATTTTTATACATAAATTTAAGTCATCAAAAATATAGCATAAGCCAGCTGTCCCAATTTATTCTTTTCTGGGTATTTTTAAAACCACCATGATAAAAGCCCTTCAAAATGAGAGCAGCTTTTAGTGTTTGAAATACCATTGCAAATTCTGCATTTTAAAGAAAAACAGAAAACAAACAGATTTTGGCATGTTCAAAGACAAACAGACAGGATTAAAACAAGCAAGTTGCCCAAGGTAAAGTACGCTAAGACCATGCCTGTTAAAACAACAAAGATTTCTGATATACTTATCATGCACCAGCTAAATACCCTGTAAGGAAATTTCCAGAGTTATATCATAGCCTCGAGGGGGAGAAGAGGAGGGAGGGGAACAATTATGACCTAAGAGTAATGGAAACATGTTTCAACAATTTTGTGTTGAAAGATCCTTTCACTATCTGAGGGAAACAGTAAATGAGCACACCACCAGCTGCAATCCTCTGTAAAACAGAAAAAAACCCATTTCTCTGCAAGTTCCCCAGCATGGGGCACACGATTGAAAAAAAATTAATCTTGCATTACACTAGCTTAAAAATTAGGAAATTCTTCATCTGCCCGAGATCTGATTCAAATCAGAGTTGTGTTAGTTGCTGTGTACACGCTGCCTTTGGTTGCACAAAGCCACGCTGTAGACTCCAAACAGAGCCATCCACACACAGCTCTTGTATGGCCTCCTGCTGTCACCCCCTCTTCCTCCTCGTCTCTATCTTCCCATCTGCTGCTTCTCTTCCCCAGCTCATTTTAACATTAATCTCAAAGTTGTTACATTACAACAGGTAGTTAAAATAGGCCTTCATTCCCTAATTACATGGTCCAAAGCCATAATTCTAAAAGAAAAGCTCAACATCATAACATTAACTTTGTTCTTCTGAAATACTTTGAAAGCGCAATTAATTTTCTTCAGTTTTCTGACATTTTCTCCCTACATTTTAATGCAGGGTATTTATCTAGACACAGCAATGTAAGCTGTACTTCCTTAGCTGCTACTCCATTACAATGGAACATTCAGGGGCAGGAAGAACACCCAGGTGTCAGAGAACAGTTTTTGAGCCATTCCCAAGACACGTACCGCAATTAGCGTTCCTGTCCTTCAAACCCAGCTGAAGTTGTTCACAACAAAACTCTGGAGTTTAAACATAGGAAGACACACATCTGAAGTATTTGGAAAAAGAAAATCCCAAGCCAAAGCAAGTAGCCTTTCTTCTCCTATAAGCACACTCTCCTACCTTGTCTCCTCTTGGAACAAAAATGTCATTAACTATCTACCAAGACTGAATCAGTTGGTAAAATCAGTCGTAGTAGTAACAGTAGTAATAATAATAACTAATGCTACAACAACATGCCCATTGGCTCAGTTCTCCCTTCTCTTGTCTTATAGGTTGTGGAGGGACAAATGAGTATCTAAGCATGGAAGGCAAGCATTGAATAAAAAAAACTATCCCACACTTCACAAACCCAGAAATGGGGTTAGAGAAATCCCTTGGCATCAAACCTGTTAACTAACCACTGAGCAGGGATGTGCTTCCTGACACCCTGCATGAGGATTGTGGACACGGGGGGTTAGGAGGGGGTGGGTCACACCAAGTGGCAAGGCTTCTCCTTCTGGAAACAGCACCCGCCATTGCCGCTGCCAGGGACAGAGCACTGGGCTCTGATCCATCAGGATATTTCTTAAATTCTGAAGTTGTTTTTGAGGTCTCAAGACTAACCACCCTCCAGTACCAGCACACTGATACAATGCTACTCATGCAACCGTACTCTGGAAATTATGCCTTTATTTCCAAACACCGATTAATTCTTGAAAAGGAGGAAATTACTTTGGTTTCAGGTCTTTAACGTTCTTTTGTGTCAGACGTGAATGAAATTATGAAGTGCTGACCAATGGTTTTACTGAGTTAAAAGGAATACAGGAAATCTTTCTAAGTATGACTTCTCAGACTCAGGATATGTAGCAGTTAAACTCAGAATGTTCCAAATGTCTGAAGAACTGCAAAAACTCAAGTCATTCTAAGCCACTGTTTAATGTAATTTCCCATCCTACTTCAAATCTACCTGAACCTGCCCAAATTCATGCTTTACAAAAGAGTACAACTAAATTTTGCCAGAGCTCCACACTATATTCAAATACCATATCGACATGAAAACAAAATGTTTGTTCTCCAAATTAGTCAATCTTATACTTGGGCACACAGCATCATCTTTAGGGAATAGGGCAGCAATTTTTATATACACGGGACAGAGATTTTCAAGGAAGCTATAAAATACAGGGTTCTTGCCCCAAACAACCACAGTTGTTGGCAAAGGCAAAAAACTTTAGCTTATGTAAGGCTAATTATTTTGAATGCAGAATTTATTCCCCAAATGTGAAGTCACCCACATTACACATCCCATGTGCTACTGATACTGCTATAGGAAGTATAGATGTACAGAGAAACAAACTGAAGAAATACTATATGCTTACGTTATTAAATTATCTTTGCTCCAGCTCCACTTCCTGGCTCTCATGGCCTCTAGAAGGTTTTATATTCTAAATTCAATTCACTTACGGAGAACATTTAACGTCTGCACCAATCTTTCTTGTCCAAAACTTAAGGCTCCAATTTATTTCAAGGTCTATACTAGAAATCTTCTAACTTCTACGTGCCCTATCATCAGCTCTATCTGCAAAAAATGACCATTTGACCAAGTTTAATCAAATTGTAGCTTGATATATTCTAGCTTGTGACATATAACTTAATATACACTAACACAAAAATCAACCAAGATACTGCAGACAGAAAAAAAGTGCAAAGGCCTGACTATCACAACACAAATTTGCCTGCTTTTTCAAATTCAAAGCAGGGGACAGATTCTGGTGGGTTTTTTTTTCTTTTCTTCCTTAGATAAGCTCAGTTTCTATATATTTGGAAGAGAGGAAAAAAATAAAGTGCCTCCTTCATAGAAGTGACCTGTACATACATACACTTCCCCTCTGAGGTCCAGAAGGCAGTGTTAAATTTGTAGCTTGTTATCTCTACAGGAAAAAAAAAACCAACATCACTACTCCATAGCAGGAGAGAGAACCTTAATAAGTAGTTAACTACACATCTGTCTGTTTGGAAAACACTGAGATTAATACTGCAGGAACTGCAGTGCATGAACTGAGTTTTGAAACATCAGATGAATGAAAAACAGAGTAGTGGAAAAGCAAAGGTAGATGGCAATCGTATGAAAATGAATGAGAAGGAAAAGAGGGATGATAGTAATTAGAAAAAAAACCAAAACTCTGGATCTTGGGAAAGGATGGCAGAGCAGAAACGCCATTCAGAAAGGAAGCTTCACCAAACTCTTTGTATTGTGTTAGAATCCCACACGAATTACATTGGACAGAAAATATATAGGAGTCAATGTTTTTGGAAGGAAGCACAGTATTGCTGTACTGTCTGTCTGTACTGGATTGTGGCTAGGCTGAAATAAATCACGTGGGGAGGGAGCGGGAACAACAACAGAAAAACCACAACCAAAAAAAAATTAGAAATTTCCAGCAAATAGAACACCAGAATCTTGGAGGGGCAAAATAAAAAAGCCAACGTACAAAATGAGATAGAAAAAGCAAGGAACAAAAAAAGATAGCCTATGTAATGGGTTAGGCGTAGGAGGAAAAAAATGAGATTGAAAAAGCAAGGAACAAAAAAGCCTATGTAATGGGTTAGGCGTAGGAGGAAGATAACAATAGCCAGCTTTAAAATGGAATAGAACTATATATTGAATCAACTTAAATTTCTGGAATTCAATAAAAGATAACAAAAAGCTATTTCTGGGCATCCAGGAAGCAGCACTGGCTAAATAACAGCCAACACTCTCAACTTCATCAAGAAAAATACACTCCGAACAATCCTGTTTTCCTTCTGTAATGGAGCCACAGGTCCTAGGACACGTGAAGTACAAGATCCATCACGTATAAAGACCTAAGATGTAAACCAGTGTCAATTCTCATACTTAAAAGTAGGTCTTGAGTTTTTGTGTCTCAGCCCCTCTGCGGTGGCTGCACCGCACACGGTACATCTGATTGCACATACAAAGCAGATCTGGCAACAGCCAAACCCTGATGGCCACCTGAGGGAAGACAGATTTGCAAGGACAGAACTGCTCCGAGTCAAAACACACACAGTCCCCTGCCCAACTTCAAAGGCCCCCAAGAATCAGCCTGGCTGGTGACAAGAGAAAGAAGCTGAGGCGTTGGCCTTCAAGCTGTAGATCAGACATTGCCTTCTAGATCAAGCAAACAAGTTGCACACTCAACTTACACAGTTAAAAATAGTACTTAATGAGGTACTGTGATTACCAAGGTTTCGCTATGAATATAGCAAAAATGGTGTTTCATAAAATTTTTTATTGGCTTTGTGATTTCTAATAATTTTGCTAATTATAAAAATCATTGTCACGATGGAAGAGGTTATGTGCTAAATCTGCTAACTGCTATGAATATAGCAAAAATGGTGTTTTATAACATTTTTTATTGGCTTGGTGATTTTGCTAATTATAAAAATCATTGTCACAATGGAAGAGGTTATGTGCTAAATCTGCTAACGATACCAAGATAGCGAGGCTGAAATCATAATCATCACAGGAATAAAAGTCAAAATGGACTCAACAAACTGACCATATGATCTCAAGATAGAATTGCACTAAAGGCAAAAGCAAACCAGAAACAGTCAGCTGCACAATGAAGAGAACTGGAAAGCTGTATGTAGCTGTTATTCCAAAATAGTCTGTGGATCACCCTTCCTTCCAAGCAAGAAGTGAAGAAACAAACACACACGCTCTCTCCCTCGTGTCCTCTGGGGAAGGCATCAGAAGTCCAGCACTACCTGTCCTACCTCGGTCTTTCTTCACTATAATTAAGATAATGCTCCCATCCATAGAACCCTAGTATTGCAAGAGACTGTGAAGTTAATAACAGGTTAAACAACTTTCAGGTATCGTTTGGCTACAGTTTATCCTGTTCTGGGCAAGGGACTTGTCACATATTTTTAAAATAACTTTTTTCTATTATTCTTCCTATAAGCAATAATTGTTCAGTGAAGTACTGAGAACAACAGAAAGAGAAGAGAGAGTTTGGGGGGGAAAAACAGAAATTCCTCCAAAGACCAGCTTTAAAAGATTGCTTCAGATGTGCTTTATATGCAGAAGTGATAAAATCCTGTGTTCCCTCCTGTCTATACCTACCTCCTCAAGGCCATTTGGAACAAATAAAAGAATGTCTGCATTGCCAAGGAATGCTAAAGGTGCATCTTTAAAGAACAAAAGAAAAAAAACCCCAAACCACCAAGAAAAGTAGAAGGCAAATTTAGACAGCTCAGTGCTTACAATAGTTTCAGGGGGCAAAAAAAAATCTCCAAAGAACCCATCTTAATATTGCTCCCACCCAATTTATAAACAAGAAGGGGCGTACACTGAAGTATGTTATAACCTAAAACTTACACATCACTTCCACAGATGATAAATACCAGCTAAATAACATCTGAGGGACAAGAGGCAGGCAGTCATTGCCCCAGTGCTGCTGGGAACTGTCAGCACAATACTCCTGCTCAAAGGACACTCAAATAATTGTCCTCCAGAGTCACGTTATTAATTGGCATTTAACTTTGCCAAATGGAAGGTGCAGGATCGTTTCTCATCTGAAAAAATGTTAAGGTCCCAACGATATTCCCCTTCAGAAACCTGAAAGGCTAATGGGTGACAGGAAGAGAGCAGAGGGTGTACGTGTTAGATTCATTTTGGGGCACACACAGGGTCAGCACACACGGCGTGAGGACCTGCTGACTCTTCTGGAGGGCGTCAAACCCGCCTGGAGCACAGGATGGAGATGGCTAAAGGAAAAATCAGTAACTAACGATCAGCTGCTGCACCACCACACGGCCTTTTAGAAATACTGATGGACATGGAAACTTCTATCGAACGCGAGTACAAATAGGGAACAAAACACTAAATTTCACTGTTCTTACTTCCACTAATTACACACATACAGGAAAGCAGAAAGCTATTTCATTTCAAGTCACATAAATAGAAAGCTCTCGACTTTTAGAAGTTACACAGCCCCTCTGCAACAGTTTAAGTGTTAGATTTAGGAAGGATTCCTTTGCTGAAAACAAACATGGAGTAATTGATATACATAAAAGTGAATAAAATTAAGACAGGGCAATCAAAATATTTGGACTTTACATAATGGAAGTTTCTCCTATATCTAACACTGCACAAGGTATCTTGCACAATGAAAAGGTAAGCAGAAGTCCCTTACACTGCCTCGCTTTGCCAGAGAATCACCGTAGTCTGCTGGCAAAGTCCGCTTGCTGGACTTTTTCTGCTCATGTTCAACTGCATCTTCAATTATAGGCTCAAGCCTCATCTGGACAAACACCAAAGATTTGGATCAATTTCTTTTCATTATACAGTGAGGAAAGATCTTAAAAGCCTTTTAAAAATTTCTGAAATCTTTAGAAAACTGCATAGAACTCACTGATGTTTAAATAAAAAGAAAATGCAAAAACCTACTGAGGCTCTGGCCTTAAATTCAGCAATCTCCAAAATAAGCTCAAATTTGGCAGATAATTATATTCTAGATTCCCCCCTCCTTTTTTTTTTAATGCTTTTCAGCTGCAAGGTTTTTAGATCTGTACCAAAAGAATTGCTCTAGGGTTCAGTACAGTCAGTCACACAGTGTTCCATCATAGTCTGTTTTAATTCAAGTATCTAAATGAAAGTTTACTAAGCAAAATCTTAAAATTGAATGTTGCTGTTCACTGGACAAGTTTGTCAAGTAAAAAGCTTATCTTTGTGTTGAATTAATTCTTCCCCAACCCTTCCAAGACTGCAGCTAAGTTATATGCTGTCTCTATGTACTTTCTCCTCAGTAAGCAGATGCAATCCTATGTCCTTACCTCTGTAAGAACCGTGGTGTCGTATGAAGGTTGATACTTTTCTTTTTCATGCGCAGTTCGCTTTTCCATCTTTTCTCTGTCTGTTTTCTGTTTCCTGTCTGCTCCTTTTGGCTAAAAATGAACAGTTACGTGAACAAGAAACCAGGAGGAAAATGGCTTTATAACTGAAATCTGATCTCAGAAGTCAAGCATTAATATAAAGATGACCCTCATCTGCATGAGAGCTTCTGAGAGACTTATCAAGGATCTCTTTTCTACTGTTACCTTAAAAACTTTGATTTGACAACTGGCTGAATGCAGATGATCTGTATATTCTCCATTTTCAGTCTGTTTAAAAGTGTCAACCTGAATCCTAAATGGAACTCCTTTCTCTCCTCCGTGTTTCCGAGGGGTAAATTCAGTGCTGATACAATGTACCTAAAAAAATACCAACCACGGAACAAAAAGGACCCTCAGAAGTATTCTAGACATGGATTTTATTACATGTTACCAACATTGTATACATTTTCTAAGGACAAGTAACAAATGACCCAGCCTGAGGACCAAGCTGCATAACTCATCTTTCCTTCCTTTTCCTGCCCACATGCAAATAAAGCCCAAAACATTGTATTTGAGCTGACAGGGAAGAGGAGAAACAAGCGTGTCATCAAAACCTCTCCAAAAAGCAGAAATCATTATAGATTCTTATTAAATAACAACTTGATGGGTCTTAAGAAAAATGTATGTGGATGACAACTGTATCTATCATGAACACAGCAAAAACTTTGAGATACTGCTGTCCCACGCCTCATAGCTAGAATAAACTTCAGAGTTACTTGTAATAAGTATTACCAGAGCTACAGAAGGGCAATCACTGCAAGAGTTTTTAAACTGGGGTGAAATCACTGTATTTTGAAATATCCCCAACTTCCTGTAATAGTCAGCAGACTTTTTAATCGGTATGTAATTGCCTCAAGTGCTACATCAGCCTGAAGACTGGGTTTCTAAGTTAGAAGCAGCTCTAAAAAGACATTTAAGGAGAAAATCAGTGTAAGAAAAAGAGTTCTGATGAATCTCACTGGACAGCAATCCCTATTTTTTTCACTTCCTTATGGAATTTTAAGCCAGCCAAGCACCATGGGCAATAGCATTCCTTGCACTCTCAATGACCACAATACAATCTTTTTATTTCCTATGGCCATCAGTAACAGACAACCACAGACTGGAAACTGGGGCTTTAAGTGTAATAAGCACCGCTGTGTTCTCTAGCCTTTAGGATAAGGGAATTATCCTGGCACTTTAAGAATCAGTTGGACTTTCCCTCAAGTCTGTTATCACTTCTAAGGAAGTGCATCAACAAAAATATTCAGTAGTTTTTTTCACACTTCTTCAAGGAGACTACATTTTCGTACTTGTGTAAAAAAGGTCTTTGATTGCACCAGATCAAAGTTAATTTACTGACAATGTGGAATTTAACCTATTTTGGCAGCCTCAGTAAGAAACGCCCCTACCTCAAACTTTATACCTTTTCTTCGTAATAGAAACACATCTGAGACAAAAGTAAGCTACAAATTTCAATGCAAACCTGAATATTCTATCTAAATAATTTGCAGAGGAAGGATGTTCAATTGCCCTGAATATCAAATACATAAGTAATAAAAACCCTACTTCCTACTACAAGGAAACCTACTGACACAGTAAGAAACATCTTTGAATGTCTGATTTAAAACTATCTTTGTAGCACATTAATTTTCCTTTTGTATCCACAAGCCAAGCCTCTGCTGACATTCATCTCTAGGACAGTGGGTCTCTCAACTAAAAAAAATAAAAATAAAAAACAGTACTGGCAGTTATTTAAAGGGATATAAACTAATTCTAATACTCCGTCTAACTAAATATTTTAACCATGGCAGCTTTCTGCAGAGAGATTTCTGAAAGCCTTTTCTTTAAATTGTTTTTAAAAGATGCTTGCATAAATTGAAATCAAGTTGAGAAATTTAATTAGGAACCCTTATAGAACTAACTGCTGCTCTGAACCTGTGTGGTGTTTTGTGCTCTTTTTAACAAAGCGAGTATTCAGTGTCTATCCCGCAAATGAGAAATCAAGAAGCTTCACAGTGCAAATACACAACAGTTTGCAACCTGAAAGGCACCAAACACAAACATCCAGTCAAGGAAAGTTTCAAACCTGAATAAAAGCAGATGTACATTTTGTTGGATCCCACAAAAATTCAACTGCATTGAGCTGGCTTGGATTTGTCTTGATATCAATAACTCCAACAGACATTGGAATATCTATATTAAAGTAAGTAGTATATATTTTAAAATAATCATATTCCAAGAAAACACTCAAAATACATTTTTTATCATCAAAAAACACAGTTAGGGTGAAAAAAGATAAGTTTTGGTAGTTTGACCATAAACCCATAAACAATTCCTCAGGACTAACTTGAAGAAACTTAGTACTCAACATACAAAGTTTTGGGGTTTTTTTCAATTCCCCTCCTCCCTCTCCCACCCACTCACAGCTTATGCAACAAAAATTATAAAGTTACGGAAAATAAAGAAAATGGAGACTGTCACTTCCAAAGTCTACTAGAGAAAACTTTTTTCTGTGTTCTCCTAATTACTGTAAAATTTAGTAATTGAAATTAGAAAGATTCCTAAGTGGAATTTCAAAGGTAGCTGAGTTGCTATCTTACTTCCGCAGCATTTAAAGCTTTTAAAGGAATGTGGAAGTGCTAAGAACATTTATATTCAAAATACACACTATGACAAAGCAGCACACAGAAAACTGGCCTGTGCTTTTTCAGCAGCCCTGGCTTAAAACGTGACCGCAATCAATTTAAATTTGGAAATTGAATTTCATACAGCAGCAACAGACAGAAACAATTATACCTAAGTCGAGAAGTCTGTCCCCAGGGCGGTTCCACTTCCAACCTTCTAGCTGCTGGTGCTCTGTATATTGCAACCTTCTGTCATGGAACACAACTCTTATAATACTCTAACAAAGAAGAAAACAAGCATCCGATGAGCCACAAAGTTACTGTATGTTTAGAAACAGCCTTGAGATGAATCAGCCAAAATAGCCACAGTGCTGATAAATACATATTTACAGCAAAAAAAAAAATTGCAAACATCAGTATCCCAAAATATTCCAGAACACAGAAATAAAATTGAGCAGCTGGAGATATTTGAAAATGAGGTAGAAATGCAAAAGAGAATTTTATCTGATTGCATATTCCAATTGTCACCATGAATTAGGTGAAGCGAACCAAGCAACACTGACAGCACAGTCTCAACACTGTGTAGGCAGCACCAACTTATTTCAGAAAACAAACACAAAAGAATTCATTTATTCAGAAAAGCAGTGAATATAGACTGACCATTTTTTTCACTGGGAATTCTGTGAACTTTCATAGAAAATTTTAAGAAATAAAATGCAATTTGTTATACAGAGGGGGAAGAATATCGTATATAGGAATTGCTACTGAACAACAAAATTTAGACAAATCTGCCTCATTTTTTTCCCATTAAGTCTTAAGGTCTTACTTTTATTAAAAGCGGATAAAAGTGTCCAAAAAACCCAAGAACTTTTAAATGAAGTGTCTCTTTAGGATACATTGCATTTCCGTGGTTATATTTCAAAGACAACAGAAAGCACATGTAAGTGTGTGTGCACACGCAGACACATGTACATACACAGCGCTGCTTTTTCACTGCAAACTGGCAAATCTGGAACTTGCCAATATCCGCAGCCACCTGCACCAACGTTAAATCTTTCCTTGTTAAACTGTGGGCTTTTTTGAAATGGAAAGTTTGTTGATGCAGCATTACAATGTCCTGCTATGATCAAATTCACTTCTTTAAACTTCTACTCCGCTTTTTCCTATTCTCCCGACCAAATGGCTCATTATCAATAAAGGAGCCTAGAAAATTACAGCAGAGAGACACCCCAAAGCTACAAGGAAATAGCACCTAAGGGGGCAAAACAGTCACCATGCTTATTACTGCAAGCCAACATACCAGTTGTAAAAAGTTTAATTACAGACCTCACAAATCTCAGTTTTATGTTTGTGCTTACGCTTCTTGAAATTATCTCTGAACATGCATCCCACAGACAAATAAGAACAAGGCAAAAGAATACACAATCCAGCCAAAGTTCAAAAATTATATAGCCCAAAGTTGACAGGAAAACACTCTGCCTCCCACTTTCAAGTTTCTCCCTTCTTTCCCAATAGCTGAGTAAGATTTTTAAGGGAATTTGGTAACATTGTTAGATGCTTCTAAGAAAAATCCAAACCTCTCCCCTTCACCAGTTCTTTTAATAATTTGTACCATGAATTGAGCATTTTTCAGTCTGCCTCATTTCTCATACTTCACACACCACGAACTGCTCAATGAGCAGTAAAATTAGTGAGATCTGTTTTCCTATGGGTATGTCTCTGATATCACACTGTTGCAAAAACCACAGGTTGGCTCTATGTGTGTTCCACACCACCAATTAAGAAAAACCTTCATAATACCTCCACTTCTCTCTAAATGATCCTCTAGTTTCCTTCCACATCTTCCAATCACTTGAAGTGGACAATGTAATGGCTCAGATGTTGGATACAAATCTGTAGATAACTAGGTATCTTAAGCTTTGCATAAAATAATTTGGGCTTCAGTACACACAAGTACTCTATGCATTAGACATACATATTCATACTTTTAATATCACTGATCCATGCTATTTCTGAAAAAGCATCTAGTGACAGCAGGAAAAAAAAGTATTCCATAAAATGTACAGTCTCTAGATTGGATTTCTCTCAGCTAACTTTAGGTATCTACATTTGAGATCACTGTTACCACAGCTTCCTTTTACTCAGCAGAAAGTGGAGTAAATTCTCCATTTAGTGGAGATTTATCTCATCTCACGCTGATCAGACAGCAGAGGTCATAAAGGGTACATGAAGTGACCAGCTCACCTTTAGCTATCTAAAAGTCACATGGAATGAACCCATCATGGTACATAAATGGGGAAACACATTATGTGTGTATTCTTTTAATTTGTAATAAACCTGAAACAACAAAACTAGGCATTAGGTTTTCCTACGCAACCGGCAGAGTCTGTTAGCAACGCTGGCTAAAGAGCTTCACCTTCACCAGTTTGCCATTGATCTCTGGGATGTCTCCAGCTTTCCGATTATCCAACATCCGGATCTCATAGGACTGACCTTGAAAGAGAAAAAAGAAATGGTATCAGTACAAGAGTCAGAGCAGAAAGCTATTTGCTGTTTAATGCACCTGAATTAGCTGTTGGATCACAGCACACACAAATACTGGTACCCGAAACTTCTGCTGAAGAGAATTTTATAAAAAGGTTCACTTCACAGTACAGGAATTAATGGAACAAAATGGTCCCTTTGGTCCCTTTAAAACTACAGATACTTTCAAAGTTTAAGTATTTAATTTTACATGAAGTGTAAGTACCTCTTTTTTAATTTTTTTTTTCCCCGAAGAAAAACATTTCAAAGCTGAATTCCTCTATTTATTGAAACTGATGAAAGGCAACATACTGAGAACCACAGAGTGGTCTCCCAAAACAAACCCTTGCAGGGTTTTTGTGCTTTCCATACAACATCCATACTGCTCTCCCATGTTTACTTTTGTCCATGTACCCGTTAGCCTTTGTATAATTTTTAGGCTTTGTATGATCTTAGAAATAAGCCTTTAAAAGAGCCAGTTACTGGGAAATCCAAACAGGTATGCGTGAACCTATCTTTCCAGTGAATTACATGAACTGTTGTGCTTCAAAAAAGACAAAGCCTTCTATTTGAACAACAGGGGGTTTTTTTGTTCCAAGGTGAGCAGCACATATTCCTCTGCAAAAATCACATTTCCCTAATTAAAATATAGGACAAAATAGATTTCAAGAGGTTCACTGAGATCAAGGGCAGTACATTCACTACCTTCTACATTACCCTCCAAACTACCTTTACGCTCTAGTGTATACTACATTTAAAAGACATTTATTGACTTGTCCTACAAGGTGGAAGTTCAGCTGTCATTCCCCTCTGAATGAGCAAGTGATTACCTCTGCTCCTTCCACTGTTTCATAGACTGAGGTTACTATGGACCATTTGGTGGCGTTTTTTTTTTGCACATTTATGTATATTCTCTACACACGTACAGGATTTCTTTACCCAGCAGCATTTGATCACTGATATGATCATTGATGACATAAAGCCATGTAAAAATTAAATTAGCCTAGTGCAGCTGGATAAAGCAGCAGGTCATTTCTCCTCCTATATTTAACATGGGGGAACTTTTTTCCTCTTAGAGAGATTTGTTCAATTACCAGTATTCTTTTACTCACACAGATATAACATATGTAAACCCATCTGCATTTAAAAACTTTTTTTTTAAATCTAGCACTACTAATAAAACTTTTGCAAGTATTCTCTGTTCTCTCTCATTTTGTAATTTTTTTTTGGAGGGTTGGGGGAAGGCTAAATTACGCTTGCTTGCTCAACATGTGTTTTATAGGTACACAGTAATATTAAGACTGATGATTTGATGAAAGTAAAAATCAAGGAATAACCCAACTCAAAGATGAGAAAATAGCACAGGAAGTTTTCAACACAACAGGATTGAATCATTCCATTCTGGAGTTTGAGACACATAACTGCTCTGAAAGTGTGAAAAGCACCACAGCACTGATTTTAGTCACCTCTGTATGAAACCTATGTATATGCTGCTTTCCTGAAGAGTAGTCACATGAGCAAGGCAACATAAGGCGCTAGGAATTTCTACTGCCCACCACTTAACAGTGGAACTGCAGTACCCCCTTCCACAAAAATCACAGAACGGGCGTCTGGAAGGGACTTCTGCATGGAGGTCATCTTGTCCAACCCCCCTGCTCAAGCAGGGCCACCTAAAGGCAGTTGCCCAGGACCAAGCCTGGCTGCTTCTGAGCATCTCCAAGGATGCTCATCCAGCCCATACTTCATTAGCTTCTCTATAACAATCTAATGGGAGAAAACAGCAAAAGCCCTTCTGAAGACAGCAACTTGTAGACGATATTTACTGCTCTCCCCCTGTCTACCAAGCCAGTCATTTCATCACAGACATTTACCAGGTTAGTCAAGCACGACTTCCCCTTGGTGAATCCATGCTGACTACTCCTAATAACCTTCTTGTCCTTCATATCCCAGGATTAGTTAGTCCCATCACCTTCCCTGGGACGGAGATGAGGCTGACCAGCCTGTAGTTCCCTGGGTCCTCCTTTTTGAAGATCAGAGCAACGCTTGCTTTCCTGTAGTCCTCAGGCATCTCTCCTAGTCACCCTGATCATTCAAAGACTTTTGAAAGTGGCCCCACATTGACATCTACCAGGTCCCTTAGCACATGTCCTGTCAAGACGCACAGATTTATCCGTGTCCACTTTGCTTAACTATTCCCTGACCTATTCCTCTTCCACAAAGGGTACGTATTCCTTGCTCCAGACTTTCCCCCTAATCTCTAGGGCCAGAGATTCCTGAAGGCCAGTGATGTTAGTAAAGACTGAGGCAAAGAGCATTCAGTACCTCAGCCTTTTCCATATCCTGTGTCACCAGTGCCCCTGTCCTATTCAGCAGGGGCCCACATTCTGCATAGTCTTCCTTTTGCCCCCTCGGTAAGTACGGAAGACCATCTTCTTGTCTTTGACGTTCCTCACCAAATTCAATTCCAGCTGGGCTTTACCTTTCCTGGCTGCATCTCTGCATGCTTGGACAGTGTCTCTGTATTCCTCCCAGGTTACCCATCCCTGCTTCCGACTTCTGTATGCATACTTTTTGTGTGAGTTTTGCCAGGGTTTCTTCTCATCCATACAAGCCTCCTGCCATTTTTGCCTGACTTCCTCCTCATTGGGATCCACTGCTCTTGAGGTTGGAGGTGGCGATCCTTGAATATTAACCAGCTTTCCTGGGCCCCTATTCCCTCCAGGGACTTATCCCATGGGACTCTACCAAGTCATCGAAGAGGCCAGAGTCTGCTCTACCCTGTCTCCTTGTTTCAGGATCCTGAACTCCATCATCTCACGCTCACAGCAGCCAAGTCTGCCTTCAACATTCACATCTTCAATAAGCCCTTCCTTGTTGCATGAGACAGAGCACAGCACCTCTCTTTGTTGCCTCCTCTGTCACTCGGGTCAGGAAGCCATCAGTCAGTGCTCTCCAGGAACCTCCTGGATTGCTCATGCTCTGCTATATTGTCCCTCCAGCAGACATAAGGGTGGTAAGACCACCCATGCGGACCACATCCTGTGAACATGAGGCTGCTTCTAGTTCTTCAGAGAAGGCCTCATCTACTTAGTCTTCCTGGTCAGGAAGCCCTTTGACTCTTTCTAGCCCTCCAGAAAAAGAGTCATTTTAATCCTGGTCACTTCAGTTATCTGGTTCCTGGTCTGGCCTCATTATCAGGCAGTGTCTTGCCTTAAATAATTTTCAAGGGGACCATGAATAGGGAGTACCATAGAGAGTAAATACCCTCTTTAATTTCATCAGCAGCTGTCACAGTTTACTGGATTGGGAATACCAGAAGCAGCAGGAACATCTGCCCTGTCTGCTATGGTGACGTTTCCTCAGGCAACACTTAAGCAAGCCCTGACTTTACTCTCTGCCCCTAAGTGTTTTAATTGGAATAGCTACAAGCATCATTCAGAGTTAAAGAAGCATCTGGATGATGCTCTTAGTCATCTGATTTAGTTTTAGGTGAGGAGCAGGATGTTGGACTTGATCCTTATGGGTCCTTTTCCAACTTGAGATATTCTCTGAGCTAATGGAAAATTTAAAGTGATTAGGTAATCAGCTGAAGCTGATTCCAGAAGTTCAGATCTTGGAGTGATGATGGCTGGTTATTCAGGGGTTTGCAGGGTTCTTATTAACTCTACAATCTGTTAAATGAGTCCATTGAGAATGCATATCAGAGTTGTAGGACAATGTTTGAGTTGGCTGCTGTTCAGCTAGATGTATATCAAATAGCAGAAGTGGTATGGAAGAGAACTGCTTTTAAAGGGGACGCATTCTTTAGGATACAGTCTTTATATTAAAAGAGATTTTCGAGGGCAGACAAAACATTTACAGTCATTTCAGATGGTGTCACTTAAACGGCAAGCTCTTCTCAGAGGTGAGACAGCAAGCACTTTCTTTCTAGAGTGCACCTCATCAAGTTTGCCAACAACACCAAGCTGTGTGGAGTGGTCCACATGCTGGAGGGAAGGGATGTCATCCAGAGGGACATGGACAGGCTGGAGAGGTGGGGCCTGTGAGAACCTCATGAAGTTCAATCAGGCCAAGTGCAAGGTCCTGCACCCGGGACATGGCAATCCCAAGCACAAATACACATTGGGCGGAGAATGGCTGGAGAGCAGCTCTGAGGAGAACTTGGGAGTGCTCATAGATGAGAAGCTTGACATGAGCCAGCAACGTGCACTGGCAGCCCAGAGAGCCAACCACATCCTGGGCTGCATCAAAAGAAGTGTGGCCAGCAGGGCCAGAGAAGTGATTCTGCCCCTCTACTCTGCTGTGGTTAGACCCCACCTGAAGCACTGTATCCAGCTTTGGAGTCCTCAGCACAGGAAGGACATGGACCTGTTGGACTGAGTCAAGAGGAGGGCCACGAAGATGACCAGACTCTTTGTCAGGAAATGTAGCGATAGGACGAGGGGTAACGGTTTTAAACTGAAAGAGGGGAGATTTAGATTAGGTATCAGGAAGAAATCCTTTGCTGTGAGGGTGGTGAGACCCTGGAACAGGTTGCCCAGAGAAGCTGTGGCTGCCCCATCCCTGGAGGGGTTCAAGGCCAGGCTGGATGGGGCTTGGAGCAACCTGGTCTGGTGGGAGGTGTCCCTGCCCAGGGCAGCGGGGTGGAACTGGATGATCTTTAAGGTCCCTTCCAACTCTAACCATTCTATGATTCTTCAGCTTGTTGCCTTGCTGGCAACCCAGCACGCTGAGCTGACCTTCAAGCTTCATGTTTGGTTAGGGAGGCTGGATGCCAACACCGAAGAAAAGAAAGTATATTTCTACAGAGTTTCAAGTTTATGATATTTGGAAGGTTTTTAAACAGTGCAAAGCATCTTGCTGGTCCAGCATACTTCTCTTCTGAAGAGAGCACTCAGGGTACAAAAAGTGGTAAAATATAAAAGTAAACAGGACCAAGCAAATGGCTGAACTATGTGATCACATTTGCAAGACACTAGAAATCATCTAAAGAACTTCCACTATTCTCATTAGTAAGGCAGTCAAGTAACGTTTAAAGCATATCTAAGCAGACTGGATATTGCAAAATAAAGCACTTAGCAACTTCAGTCACACAGAAACCTGAAAATGATGCTTTGTCATCATGTCAGTATCAAATTAGACACAATCTGCTCTCACAGATTTTAGGGCCTCAGTACACAGTTAAACACTTCCAGGTATGAAATGCATCACCAGAAGTTCATGCTACTAGAAGCCTTTCAACTTGAGCAAAATGGATATCAAGAAAACACACTTGTAAAATATACAAATTCTATAGTACAGTAAAGCAGTTAATAAGTTAAAATAGCTCACAAAGACCAAGGAAAATTCACCAATATGTATTGGTGAATACAACCTCTGTCCTCTTAGCTGCACACTGAAGCAGTGCAGTGCTCGGAGAGGCACATGAACTAAGAAGATTAATTGTACCAAAGCATGGTAGGAGATGGAAAAGAAATGGTGAATGTTACTTTTTTTAAACTTTTTATTTTTCACACAAGCTGTCCCGCGTGACTGTGTCTTCTAATTACAGTGCTATCTATTGAGAGATTTGGGGTTGGAGTCCACAAAGAAAAGCAAAATTAAGTCTAGGAACAGCAATCCTAGAGTGTTAGAGCTGAGGAGGGGTGGGGTGGAAGGGTGGCAGAGTACTGAGCCATTGATATGGTCCAAAATAAACGTTTTTATTTGAGTTCAGAACACTAGCTGACTAAACTTAGGGCACCGGTGTCATTTCCAAAGGTGAGGGAGGTTTTATCACATGGCAATATTGTCTTCAATTGTTTATCACATTCAGATTGTTTTACCCAGCAGTCACTGCCCTCTGCAGAAGGAAAACTGAGTTTTCATGCAGATCAACCACCAGGTATGTGCAAAAACCAGCAAGATTCAGGTGAAGTATTTATCTAGTGAATTTCTCATAAACATAGACAGACAATAGTGAAATACACACAAACCCCAAAGGTAACTACAAAGGTGGCTGCACTTGTTTATTTTATAAACATAATACTTTTCTGGGCAGATATGTACAGCTAATTTGACAGCTATTACGGTGTGCAACAGTTTTTGTTCAGGGATTGACATTTTAACATTTATTATGACTTTTGGGGGGAGTCTGTGTGTACCTTATGCAAATATCATCCAATTAGCTTGCTATTATCAAAACAGGAATGCAAAATTAGTATTGTATTTTAAGCTACTACTACCTGAAATTAACAAACTTCCTTTCAATACCTGAAAAGTCTGTCAGCTCGGCCTTGTGGGGGAAGTTGAGGATGGAGAGTGGTAACATAAAGAGCAGAAAAAATCCCCCAACTCCCCCCCCAAAAAAGACTCTAAGAGAAAGTAATGACAGATTACAGCTATGAGTCTGTGAGCTGAACAGAACAGGACTACTAGTAAGGTATCCAACCTCATTTTTGACATGAATTTATTTGAGATGTACCCACATGTATCAAAATATGAATGTAATTCCAGGTTTAGACCTGCACCACAAGCTGCATTTGCTATAGTTATGCCTGTAACACTTGTATACCAACCTTGATTCAAGTATGTAAGAGTTTCATCATATAATTTTACTGCTGGAGACGTTGCAGCACACATAACATACTGGAAGGGTGGATGTTTGGTCTCATTTTCTTGTGGAAGGCTGGAATCTTCCTGCTTGAAAATAGGCAGTGCCAAAACATCACTGAAAAGAATAAACAAATAACTTTGTGAGACTGTTGGTCCTGTTTTGCCTGAAGCTAAAATAAAAAAAAGGTTATTTGTGATTTAAAAAAAGCACAGTGGAATACCTACAAAGTTGTGTCACTTTGAGTTTGTTAGTGAAACCAACACAAGCAGTACCCAAAACATCCTCCAACAAAAATTTAGGCTAGAACACTTAAACAATGCTCTGGGACCGAAACAGGCAGTAAATAAAGTTGTGCCGGTCCTCTGAAAATGTAATCTTCAGTTCTTGCCTCCACTGAAAAAATTCAGTTTACTCTTAACTATTCAACTGTCACCACAGACAAACCCACCTAATATACACGCAGCTGAGAGCAATGCATTTACTTTCTTCTTGAAAATAATACATTCACCAAAGTAAGTTACTTTTACTGTGAAAATATTTCTCCCCATTCAGAATAACTATATCTAACCTAAGAATTCTGTTGACATAGAAGATTTTTCAATCTTAACTTTGCACACTGAATAGCACAAAAACGATTAAGCAGCAGATTCACAAAACACAAGGTAAAGAAAGTGCATGCCAAGGTTCCCTTCACCTTTCTGTACCAGAAAAACTTTGGAAGTGCAAAGTTACTGAACAGCAGAGAGCAATCCATGCTGCCCACAGGCAGCGGGTAAGAGAGACAGCTGAGCCACAACCAGCAAACACATCTTCTGCTTTCTACAGATTTAAATACCCCCTATTAGCAAAAGATTCATTTTCATTGTACACAACAATCCTTTGTAAATAAAACTTCAGAGAGATTATCCAGTTCTGTTCAAAGACAGCATTTTTCTAGCACTAAATTTTTGTCCGTGATGAAACTGTTACCTGCAAATCCATGAGACTTTCTTTGAAAATTAGTTTCTAAACTGAAGATTTCTAACATGACCTCACCTGGTGATTCAGGTTTCAATTTACATGTATCCTTTGTTTATTTCTCCTGCATTGATCACAACCATAGATTTAATGTATTTTGTAAAATAATTATAAATGTCTTATCTCTATTGCACTACGATTTACACTTTGTACCCTAACATTTTTGAAGGAATATTACTTTTTGCTGTTCCTCATTTCTGAGAGCAGAATTTCTCCAGCTCATATCTGGAGAATCAAAGAGTATAATAATCAATCTAAAAAGTGAAATTATAGCCAATATTTTTGGGTCACAGATGGTTATAGTATAGACTTGGTCTATGCAAGTATTAGGTATGAGGAGTGCAGCTGGGGCACCCCAACTTTTCTTCCAGAGCATGTGCCACATACAGCAAAGGAAAGGCCAGCCACATCAGATTCCACTCCCCTGGCTACTTGGAAGAAGCTATATTGACCTGAAAGAGGAAATATTTATGAATGGTGAAAAAAGTTGAAGAAGTTTGCCTATACCTTATAGAGACTGTACAGTTTCTCCTAAAAATAACTAGGAAGAAACCACAGGAGATGCTACAAGCAGACGTGAAAGCAGGACAGGTCAAAAAAGCAGTACAAGCCTGTTGAACCATACCTTAGCTACTTCTGATGCCAGCTCCCCAAAGTGGAGCCCAGAGGAGGCTGTACTCCTTAACTAGTTATGAAGGAAGGTAACGTGAAATATCCACTTAAAAGAAGCAGAAACTACTTATATAGACAAAAGGAGCATGATATGCAGAGGTAAGACAAAATTTCATACACTGGTGGACTGCTGCTACTTGAGGGTAACTCAGAAGAAACAACTAGATGCTTCATGCCTTGGAGTCAGTCAAAAGAGAAGCACGAGCAGAGAGCAGCCCAACACACGAGGGAGCACTGCAACAAGCAGAGAGAGGGACCGTCCCAAGACAGGGCTCCTACAGCAGGAACCCATGCTCCTCACACACCCTGGCACACAAACACTAGTCAAGTGTTTTTATGAAGAGGAACTTTAAAACAGAAAGAACACGGAAACAATAACAAATGTTTAAAATACACACATAAGAGTTGAAGTGCAAGAAAGAAGGCATGCAAAGTATCTCACCAAACAAATAACCTGTAATTCTTGACTAAGTTCACAGAATGCTATGGGGTTGGAAGGGACCTCTGGAGATCATCCAGTCCTACCCCCTGCCAGAGCAGGTCCACCCAGAGCAGGTTGCACAGGAACGTGTCCAGGTGGGTTTGAATGTCTCCAGAGAAGGAGACTCCACCACCTCTCTGGGCAGCCTCTTCCAGGGCTCTGCCACCCTCACAGGAAAGAAGTTCCTCCTCATGTTGAGATGGAACTTCTTATGTTCCAGTTTGTGCCCATTTCCTCTTGTCCTGTCCCTGGGCACCACTGAACAAAGACTGGCCCCATCCTCCTGACACCCACCCTTTAAATAGTTATAAGCATTGATCAGATCCCCCCTCAGCCTTCTCTTCTCCAGACTAAAAAGCCCCCAAGTCCCTCAGCCTTTCCTTCTAAGAGAGATATTCCAGGCCCCTCATCATCTTTGTAGCCCTCTGCTGTCCCCTCTCCAGCAGTTCCCTGTCCTTCTGGAACTGGGGAGCCCAGAACTGGTCCCAGTGCTCCAGATGGGGCCTCCCCAGGGCAGAGCAGAGGGGGACAATGACCTCCCTCCACCTGCTGGTCACACTCTTCCTGATGCCCCCCAGGATGCCATTGGCCTTCTTGGCCACAAGGGCTCATTGCTGGCTCATGGTCATCTTGTTGTCCACCAGGACTCCCAGGTCTTTCTCCTCAGAGCTGCTCTCCAGCAGGTCAGCCCCCAACCTGCCCTGGTGCAGGGGGTTATTCCTCCCCAGGTGCAGCACCCTACACTTGCCCTGGTTGAATTCCATCAGGTTCCTCTCTGCCCAACTCTCCAGCCTGTCCAGGTCTCACTGGATGGCAGCACAGCCTTCTGGGGTGTCAGCCACCCCTCCCAGAGTTGTGTCACCAGCAAACTTGCTGAGGGTACTTGCACTTGCTTTCATGTAACACGCAAGATTGAGACATCTTTTGTATATTTACAAAAAATATCTTTTAAGCCTTCGTTTTCCACCCACAATTTAAAGATAAAAATGCATGTCTGGCTTAAGAATGCATGTTGTAGTTAATGAACTAGTTCAATTAACAGACAAGGCATTGGAAGCCAACAAATATAAATGGAAGACAAATTTAGCCAGCTTTAAACTTGCTTTTGCTAATACTTTCGAAGTGGTAATGACTAACTGCCACCGCAGAAGAAAAAAAAAAAAAAAAGGATATCCAACTCCTCAACCCTACAATTTAGTTGTAAAGAGAGCATAATGTGCATTCTTAAATGCCACCATCCCAAAAAAACACTCCAGCAAACAGCACAAGGCAAATCTAAGAATCTTCATTTATTTTCCCAGATAGAATCATCCCTTTTTCTCATAAAAGAAAGTCTTCTGGGTACTAGTCTGTTCCAAAGGAAAAGAGGAAAAGAGAAGCCAACATAATTTAAAACTCCTTCCTAGACCATCTTGAAATAAATATCATTTAAAGAACATTTTGATTTCTTCACTCACAAAGAACAAAAGATCAGTGTTTTCACATTTAAACATACACTTGTTTGAATCTAAAAACAGATAAAAGCTGCAGGCAATTAAAAAGAGTCAATTAGGTATGAATAAAATATTTCAAATTAAGATTTTAATGTGCCAGTGATCAAGAAATGTTGATTGATTTAGAACCAACTCGGGAGCTGCTCCCTCCCTCCCCTGCCCCTCTACAAAGTATTTTTCTGGGCTCTGTTGGGATCTCTATCAGTTCACAGCACGGTCCAACACACAACTACACAACGAAGGATGGCAAAAGCAGGTGACAAAAAGTTTACTGTAGAGAAACCCCTGTCCTACCAAACACAACTTGAGAGCAGGCATCACAAGTTAAGCCCATTTCCCTCCTCATGATTAGCAGTAACAGGGATAATGGAGTCAGGGAAGAAATTGGTAGTGTCTATGTTTACCTAGGAAATCATTAGAAACACGCAGCTTTGAGAAACACAAGAATATAAAGGTGTACTCACAATCCACAGTAGGAATCCACAGGAAACAGAAAATTAATCTTAATAGACCTCTTTCCATACAGTGAAGAAAAGTATCTTGTAAGTGATAAACTCCAATTACTATATGCTATTATGTAGATCATGTTTCTAAAAACTAGAGTTCCTGAACAACAGTCTTTTTACCACCTCTAATTTTATACTGATTCTATTATAAGAGCCAACAGAAAAAAACCACTGCAGGAGATCAGGTCAGCCTTCTCAGTTCTCGCTTTTCTTCCTCAGATCCCAGATACAATTTCTGCATTTCTAAGGAGCCAATGGCCTGGCAGTGCAAATCATCTGCCCCCCAGGAAATCACTGGCAGCCTCCACGTTTATGTGTACCTCAGCATCCTTCTTGCTCACCTGGTGAAATTTGATTTGTGCTGGCCCAGTGCAGATTAGTGACAGGCACTTCTACTGCCAGCTTTGCTCAGGTTATTTAAGAAGGTAAAATATCTCTTGCCTAAACTGAAGCACCCACTGGCAGGGTTGCCCAGATGGAGAGAAAGTTAAGTTCTCCAAAATAGCTACTGTTGAAATTATTTCAGGCTACAGGAGAAAAGAACTTTAAGAGACTGATTCCGTTCTTTCTCTGGCACTGCTAACTTTGGATCTTGTGAAGTAAAAGACTAATTTATTTCACTTGTCTCACTGAAGCGAACTATGGACTACTGCAAACAAGCTGAGGTAAAACCAAACAGTAATGATTTGAAGAAGTAGCATCTTTTGTTAGACTTCTTGATATCATTTGAAAAAGCAGTACTATCAAGGTTTATCCCCCTGATGGAGGGAACTCTGAGACCAAATTTTTGAAACTATTAGCTCCAGTAAGAAAAGTCTTATCTCAGTCCCTTACAATTTCTTATCTAAAGCGTTCAACTGAAAGCACTCTTTCTTCCTAGAGGGAGGAGAAAATTTTCCCAGAAAAACAAACCGAAACCGTCTTCATTACATGCCAAAAGCATGC